TATCAAATTCAAACCAAAATTATTTAAAACTCGAATAAAAAATAAAAATAAAACCCACTATATTAATATTATCATCAAATTATTACATAAAACCCACTCTATACGTAGAGTGAGTGAGAGAGGGCAAATTTTCTAATTTTATGAAGTACACTTTGTTCCAATTCAAATATTTTATGTATATTTTTGTTCATTTTATTTAAAAATATATTTTTTCTATTTTAATAAAAATAACATAAAATCGAAAGATAAAAATATAAAAAAAAAATATATACAATTGATAAAATAATATTTTTTTAAAAAAATTTAATACAAATAAAAAAAATACTTTTGAAATGAGATAATGGAATATTTTTTTCTTGAAATGGAAAATGAGGATGGGAGAGAGTTTGCACACTACTGATCAGTAGCGCCGTGAATGGCGGACAGATAGATAGGGTCTGTTGTTTTATATACTATATATATATACACTGTATATCGTGCTTAAATAAAAACGTAACATGATATTTTGTAAACAAATAATATTAATAATTTTAGGGGTGGTCACAGTTCAGTTATTTGCAAATATGCGGGTATTTGATAACCGAATCGGATCAAACAAATACCTGAAATCGCGAACCGTATTCAAATCGAAAATTTCGGTTAACCGAAAATATTTGTAGTATTTGCAAATAACTCGAACCGAACCGAAATTAAGAAAATATATATAAAAGAAAAATTAAAATTCTAATTAGATAAAAAATATTTGCAAATATTTCAAATATCCGAAACGAAACCGAACCGTATATAATTATTAATATAATTTTTAAAATATAATATTATAAATACATAAATATATTCGGTTCGGTTAACCGAACTGCAAATAATATGAAAAACCGAAACCGAATCGAACCAAACAAATATCAAATATGCAGTATTTGTATTCGAACCGAATTTGCTCGGTTAACCGAAAATTCGGTTCGATTCAGTTAGGTTCAACGGTTTGACGATTCGGTTCGGTTTTTTTGCCCACCCCTATTAATAATAATATATATATTTTATGACGTGGGAACTCGCATCCGCTATAAAAAAATGCACCCAATCGAATCTAATATCCTGCCAACCAGGTCCGACGAAAAAGTAATAATAAATTCTTAATTTTATAAAAATTAGTAAGATTGTACACCTATAAAATTGAAAACAATTAGGGTATGTTTGTTTGGGGATATGGATTTTGAGTTGAGATTTGAATAGTGAAAATTTTGAATTTGAATAGTTGTATGATCTTGATATAAATAAATATTGATGTGATGTTTTGAATGTAAAATTGATTTTTAGTATAATATAAAAAATAAAAAATAGGTGTTTGATTTAATATTTTTTGGGAGAAAAAATTGAACGAACAGAGTAAATCCAATCCAATTCCCCAAACAAACACACCCTTAAAGAATTCCTTCAGGTGGATTTAAAAGAAATTAATTTAAATTTAATATTAAAATAATATTAGGTGAGATATCTTGTAAAAAAATTAAAAACAAAAAAATCCTATATTTTTTTTTCAAGAAAACATATCATACAAATAACAAAATTTGAAAAAAAATTGGCAAAACCTCGTAAGATAATGCCCACATCAGATTCTTCCCCTCAACAAAATTAAAAAAAAAAAAAAGAAAAATATCTCCATTCCGCTAACTTTTTGTTCACAGGTAAGCTGTAGATACAAAATTTCAAAAGTGATACAAGTAGTAAATAATTAAAATATATATTACATCATTATTATACAAGACAAAATTAATATAATTAATCAATCTAATTAAGAAATAATAATATTTTATTCGTAAATGAAAGTGTGTTATAAATTTTGATATTTTTGTCCTTTGACTTTATGTATGTGTAATAGTATATTTGTAAGTTAAATAAAAGTTAATATTATTTTGATTTTAGCGTATAATTATTTTTTGATTAAAAAATAAAATGGATACTTTGAATTAAGACGGATAAAAATGGTAAAAAAAATAATTTGAATTGAGAATGAGGGAGTACATTTTTCAAAAATAAAAAAATAAAATATTTTATATACACTCATTCTTTAATTTTATCTAAAAAAAAATTATATCTCAAAACAAACACATCATCGTGTGTTAGCTTATAATTTCAACAAGTATTGTTTGGCAATGCTTGACTTCTTTACTTTGAAATGATTATTTGACCAATGTCTTGATTTATGAATAAGTTAATTATGTGACTTTTGAGTGCACTATACTATAGCCTTTGTGGAGTGAAATGTTTTTGGTCCAATATGTATGTCATTTTATGTTATCAAGTAATATAAAAAGTATAAAATAAAACAAACTAGCAGACAATTTATGATAATTTTTTGTTTGAATTTGATATTAAAATAATATTTGATAAATATTTTGTAAAAAAAATACAATACTTTCTCAGTTTCATGACTAGGTATTCATTTGTTTTTTTGTACATAATTTTAGAAATATTAGTATTATATTGAAGCGTAGTAGGAATAAAATGTAAATGACTAAAATAACCTTATTAAGTATGTTGTGATATAAAGGTAAATGACATTTGTGTAATATATTGTAAGTTGTAAATATATTTGTAATATTAAGTAGATAGTACAGTTACGAGAAAAAAGAAAATGAACATAACAAACGGATTAAAATAAAAAAATAGATACTTTTGTTATGGGACGGAGGAAATAATAAAGTTATACTCCATAAAGAAACAGAGACACATTGGTTGTGTTTTAAAAGAAAATGTTTGTATTAGTGTTTTAATTTGAGAATTTTTAGAATTTTTTTATAAAGTATATAAAATTGCGTTGATAATATAAAAAAATTATTTTAAATTATTAATTTTTGTAAAAAAAATATAAATATTATATATATTGAGAATAGTTAAAAAAAATAAAAATTGATTGAATATCTTAAATATTTTATTGTGTAATTCTTATAATTCCCCTATAAGAATAAGTTATTATTATTGTTTTTAAAAATCACATTTAATTAATCGTTAGATACAAATTACAAATACAGGTGAACCAAACACAAGATTTTCAGATATTTTATGTATGATATAAACAATTTTTTATAAAAATATATTATTATTTTCTTTTAAAAATATTACTATCTAATTACTATTTAAAAACACAAAGGGTGTGTTTGTTAAACACAAAGGGTGTGTTTGTTTAGGGTTTGGATTTTGAGTTGGGATTTGAATAGTAAAAATTTTGAATTTGAATAGTTATATGATGTGATATAAATAGGTGTTGATGTGATATTTTGAATGTAAAATTGATTTTTAGTATAATATAAAAAATAAAAAATAAGTATTTGATTTGATGTTTTTGGGAGAAAAAAATGCGATGAACAGTGAAAAAAATCAAATCCAATCCTCCTAACAAACACAGCCGTACATACACAAATATAAACCAGAGAAAAGATTAACAAAAGCTTAGTTAAAAATGACACGGCAGGCAGCTATTAGAGGATCATACTAATTTGACCAAGTAAGCATACAATGCTATGTTATATAAAAATATGTATTGTACAATTTATATATGGTGCTATATTATATGTATATAATTATGCTAAAAATTAATAATATATTATGTTATATGCTGTATTATTTAATCACAAAATTTTCTTTTTACTTGAATATGATATTCTTTATATTTCGATTTAAATTATTTTTATCATTTTTATAGTAAATTAAAAAGCAATAATATTTTTTACTAATGAAAGTATATAAGATTATTTTAATATTTTTGTCTTGCAAGTACAAAAAATAGATATTTTTTATAAAATTTATAGATATCTTGATATTTATATAGAAATTACTTTTACAATAAAAAAGAAAAAGAAAAATTATTTTAATGAAATAAAAAATGATAAAAGAAAATATTAAATTTCAAATTTTATTCAAAATATTACATAAAAATTATTTAGTGACTTTTTTATCTGGATATAATGCTTTATAATAGTACTCCACTCGTCCCAAAAGAATAGGTCAATTTCAATTGTATCCGTCTTAAAACAATAATTTTATTACCATAAATCATCATAACATGTCACAATATATCTATTATTATTGCAATATTACTACTATTTTTTACACTTAAATTAATACACTTTCTCAAGGATAAAATACTCCCTCCGTCCCATAATAAAATATCAAATTTTTTCATTTTAGTCCATCCCATAACAAAGTATTCATTTTGTTTAGTAACTGTACTATCTACGTAACATTACAAATACCCTTACAACTTACAATATATTACACAAATGTCATTACCTTTATATCACACATACTAATAAGGTTATTTTAGTCATTTCTACTTTATTCGTACTATATCTCAATATAATACTAATATTTCTAAAACTACGTGTAAAAAGCAAATAAATACTTACTTCTGAGACTGAGGGAGTAATATTTTAAATTTAGTGTCCAAAATAAACAAGCTTATTCTTCCAGAGGGATATAATACACTTTTAAAAGAAATCGTGAAAAATAGATAATACAAAAAATGGAAACAAATGACAAATAGACACACAATTCATGCTCAATTTTTATTTCCCAGACGTTTCTCTGCACATAGGAAAAAGTAAAAATATAAAATAAAAATAATTCATTTTGCAAATCTGAATCAAAAAAACAAAAATTATAGAAATATTTTTATTCTTTACTCTCATTTTGCCGCAACAAACACAAAGGGTGTGTTTGTTTGTGGGTTTTATTTTTTTCATCGGTTGAATTTGAATAGTTGTTTAATGTAATATAAATAGAAATTAATGTAATGTTTTAAATATAAAATAATTTTTTTGTATAATATGAAATAAATAAATAAATAAATATTTAATGTGATATTTTTTTAGAAAAAAAAGAATTCAAATATTAAAATCCCTTAAACCCACAGAAGAACACAATCCAAGTGCTTTCGGGGAAACCACCCTCCAAACACAAGCCGATGTAGTTTGAATGTGACAAGCATACGGTAAAAAAAGGGATTCGGAATTCCAACTTAAAATCAATTAATGTTAAGTAAAGTAAGCACTTTACCGGAGTCCAACATTATTTTTCAGCCTTACAATATAGGGAGTCTTTAACGTTGGATATATTCAACACACACTGTATTCTTTCGTAAAAGGCGAAAGAATAGTTCGCTATGTGCTTATTACGCGCACAGCAAATCATATATACACATCTCCATAGTTTGAAGTGCGAGAAAATAACAAGCAATGTTTAAACTTTAAACACATATATACACAAAGCAATAATCATATCACATTAGCATGCACACATTTTTGGCGACGAGCAAGTATTGCGTGAACTTAGACGCTTACTTGATGATTAAGGAGAAGCAGAATTGCAGCGCAAGAAGTTGGGAAGATAAGTGCAGTTCCGTTGGCCGGGTTTGTCGAGGAACATCATGGCTGGCTCGTTCAGGTACGCGTATTTGCTCTTAGTCCACCTGCAGCATTAATTAGTCAAACATTGTTAACACTGTCCTGTAAATTTTGCCGAGTCATGGATGGTTACTATAAGACACTTTTGAAGCTTTTGATACTATTTAGGCGAAATTTGCCAAAAATTCACCTGTGGTTTGAAAACTCCGTGTAATTCTACCTTGTGGTTTAAACGTCCATTGTCTACACTTAACAAAGTGTACCCAACACGCGCCAATAATATTATGTTGATGAAATATGCCAACTTTAGAATTCACATTTTGGAAAATATGAGAAAGTGTCACGCAATTTTTAAACCATATGAGAATTACGTGGAGTTTTCAAACCACCGGTGAATTTTTGACAATTTCGCCTACTATTTATCAACATCTTTTTTTTTTTGTTTCAAAAATATCCAATCAAATGCCTATTTTTTCTTACAAAACATCACATAGCAACTTTTTACTATTCACAAATAATTTATTTTTTTTCAAAACTCCAAAATTTATATCTAAACGAGATATAATGCTCCTTTTTATCCCTTATTACCAGTGGTGATGTTAGCTCAACATACCAGTCTTTTATTCCCACCATTAATTCTTTATTGTCATCTATACCGAGCATTGTGGAGATGTGTTTGTCGTCCCTGTGGCCATCGCTCTCCTTTAAGTAGCATTCGAAGCGCAGGTGATCATCATCCTAGCACAATTTTGAAATTCAGTATGCAGCAATTTAGTAACTTAACTACACTGGAATTGCATTTGGTATCTAAAATTGCAACAGATGTATATGTTTTCATAATTTGTATGCAAGTCAGTTAATACAAAATCACTGATCCAAAGAAGCACATGAAAATTCTGAAGGGTGATATGAAAAAGTGGATTCAGATGAATTTATTGGACAGATCATATGGATTCCTAATAATTCTAGAGAACAGTCAGTCATGAAGTTCCAAAATTTCACAGTATCAATTTCATCGAATATCAGATAAGATGCTGAAGAGCTCTGTTCTACCAACCGATAATGCAACTTGGGCAAAACAAGACATGGTTAAAACTGTAGATCTTATCAATCATGAAGCTACATCAAGTGGATTTATAATCAGTTGACCAGCAGGACAGCAACTCTTTATCTCAAAATCAAACTAGCAATCCACCGTTTTCTGCCTCAGTTTTCATCGACAAATTTGGTATAATCCAATTTCTATGAAAGCAAAAATCCAAGTAAAATTATACAGGTTGTCAGTTCCAGATAATGGAGATTGATTACAGTAAGTCACCTAAAAAGGAATTATGCACAAACTGAGTGTTTCAGTCTTTCAGACGCTACTGGCTCCAAAAACAACAGTATTATTCATTTCAACAGTCCTCAGTCATCAAATAGAAAAAAAAAAAAAAAAAAAGAAAAACTGTTATAGCATAATTGGAGCTTCCAATCAAAAGATGTTCATATTTACTAAATAGGTTTGCACCGATATCATCGGGAAAACTTACAGAGAGATTCCGAGCCCTAACGCGAGCGGCAGCCTTGATAGCAGCGTAGAGGTGATCTTCCTCCGTCAGGCGTTTCTGCTTCCAGTAACGCGAAATCTCTAGATTTGTGACGCTTCCTGCCACCAGAGATGCAGCTGCCATTGTCTCCGTTCCGGAAAAGCGATTCTGCAGCATTCGTCGCTGTAAGAACAGAAGAAAGACGTCGGCGACGGCGGTGCGCTCTAAGCTTATTTATTTATAATTCATTAATTTTCTATATTCTGGTACGGAAAGCCGACTTGCGTTTTATTTAATTAATAGTCCTTCGTTCCGTCACAAGTCACTTTTATTTTTATTTTTTTCAATCGTAAAAAGATGATTAATTTCTATTTGTTTTCAAATATTAAATTCAATATTTAGTCTTTTTTATTATTTTGAAAATTCTTTATATGTTTATAACTTTTGAGAATAGTAAAAATAAAATATTTGATTTTATGTAAATAGATATGGATAAGTGTAAGAAAATCATTTTTAAATCAAATATTAGCTGAAGGGAATATGATAATTTACAAACTTCCGGTCATTGTTAAAATTTAAATCTATTCTTATAGATTGAAACTGCTGTAAGATAGTGTTGTTGGATCCTTAAAAAATGTTGTCAAATTTTGGAACCCTGAGAAGATATGACGATTTTTGTGACATTTTCTCAAGTATATTTTGAATGTAATTGACTTAACAGACTACAATATAAAATAATTTAAAAATAATCAAAATTTAAATATGATTAATTAATTAATTAAACTAATACTATCATAATTTGTATGTATAATTATTTTTCAATGCTCCCGTGTCTTTTAAGTTTTAACAATTTCATTTTTGATCTCTTTTGAGTTAGAGTATTCAATTCTTTTTCTTTTTTTTAATAATTAGATTATGCCAAAAATAAATGAATATTTTCTTAATAAACCAATAAAGTATAACATTTTAATAAAAATTATATATTTCATTCGATATTAAAAAAATAATAATAATAATACTAATTTGTAAATAGATTTATATATATATATATAAATAAATAAAATAAGAGTAGTTAGAGTGATAATTTAAATAATTCCAATCGGTACACCAAATTAATAATAATAAATCAATTAAATAAAAATATTGAATATTCTGGTAGGGTTGCTTGTATAGTTGCTGCAAGAAACCATAATAATAATAATAGTCCAGGAAGGAATGGTCCGGTAGTGTAGAATTTATCCAGTGCGCACTTTTTGGATAGCGATTGCGGATTATCACGTCATCAGTTAAAAAATAAAGGGATAAGAATCACCATAACATGTTCCATTTAAAATTACACGACACATATAAATTACAATTAAATAGATTTTCGAATATACTTTTAAATAGTTTTAAATAAACAATAAGATTTCTTTTTTTCCTTAAATTACTTATTTTACAAGTTTTACAGTTTTTTAGTACATTACTATTTTAATTTTACAAAATATCGTATAATTATTATTTAGAAAAAAAAAACAGATACAAATACAAATACATATACAAACAAGACTAAGGGTGTGTTTGACCATTAGTTGATAACGGTTAGTTTTGTTAGCTGATTCAATTAACTGTTAGCTGATTTGATTAGCGGGTTTGACTAGCTGATTCGATTAATTGTTTGTATTAAAATGTTTGGTAAAATAGCGATTTGATATTTAGCTGTTTATATGTAAAATGACCATTAAAAACATTTTATATTTTATTTTCAAAATATTTAGTTAGTTTTTTGGTGGGTAGACTTAAAAAATTTATTATTAATTTTTAAAATTAAAAAAGTTTTATTAAGATATTTATTTTTATTATTTTAAAATATTTCGTAAAGAATTAATGCAAATTTATTAAAATATATATTTTTTTCATTAGAATTTATAATTTTAAATAAATATATTCATTTTAATAAAAATATTATGTGATATAAAATACTATATAAATTAATCAATAATTTTTATATCACATGTATTCTAAAAAATTTAAACAAATTTATAAATAAAATAATTGACATATAAAAAAATAATTATTTTAAATTTATAAATATGAATTTATAAATTATTAAAAGAAAATATATCCAAAAAATTAATAAATAGTGTAAAAAAATATTAATATATGTTAAAGAATTAATTAATTTTAAAGAGAAGTAAGGAATAAAATAAATTTAATTGAAAAAATTAATATGAAATGCTGGAGTATACAATTTTTTCAAAATTAGTTTTTTGGGCTCAATAAACTAATTGAAAACGCTAATTTACCAACAACAAAATTAACTGATTTATTAGTCAAACAGCTAACTCTTCAATAAAGAAAAAAATTTTGAAAAAATTGTTTACCAAACACCTTCTAATCACAAAATTATGTAAGAAAGAAGGGTGTGTTATTTCTGTATTTTATTTCAATACTTTTATTAATTTTTACGAAGACAAACATGACGGATTTCATTGTCAAAGTGGATTTTTCAAAGGCATATTGAGCTGCCAGGAAATTCTTGAGAAAATATTAAGCTCGCGATGAATTTCGGAGATAGTTGAAAATTTTGGATAACGAGGGTGTGTTTGTTCGGGGAATTAGATTTTCAATTTACTATTCATTCATTTTTTTTTCCTCAAAAATATCAAATCAAAACACTTCTTTTTTATTTTTTATATTATATTAAAAATTAATTTTACATTCAAAATATCACATCAACACCTATTTATATCACTATCATATAACTATTCAAATTCAAAATTTTTACTATTCAAATCCCAACTCAAAATCCAAACCCCAAACAAACACACCTGAAGTATATCTCGTTTGCATCTGCAACGGTCCTTATTAATGAATCTCCAACGAATTTCTTTTCGATTGGCAAAGGTATTCGCCAAGTGAATCTTATATCTCTTTATTTGTTCATGTTGGCTGCTGAAATTTTGGTTGCGTTTCTTTGTGGATTTTACTATTTAAATTTTTATTTTTTTTCTCAAAAAAGAATTACGGTTAAATAATAATAATTATTTTTTATATTATATTATAAATTTATTTTAAATTTAAAATATCACATCAAACTCTATTTATATTATATTAAACAGCTATTCAAATTCGACTTTTCACTCTTAAAAAATTCAAACTCAAAAACTAAAATACACAAACAAACACCAAGTGCTTTGATATTGAGAGCTTTTACCAATGTTCCTCAAAGGCTTTTCAGTTGATTGATATTTGTCCTTAAGTTGTATCCAATATGCACACTTAGCAACAAAATATTTAGTGGCTTAAGTAGTAGAGCTAATTTGGTTACATATACTGCCACAAAAATTTGTAACATAATTTTTCATAAATTTATTTGTCATATGAGTTGCAACAAAATATGTTTGCTGTGAATTTTGTTACATATCATTTTATAAATTAAAGTTACAATTATATGTCATATAAATTGTCATGCTTCGTTGCAATGAATTTTGTTAAAATAATATAATAATGATAATAATAATAATAATTAAATGAAATGAATTTTGTTAAAATAATATAATAATGATAATAATAATAATAATTAAATGCAATGAATTTTGTTAAAATAATAATAATATAATAATAATAATAATTAAATATATTAAATTTACTATGCAATTTTTCACATAAATGATATATGCACCAGCAAAATCATAATATAATCTTTAAATTTTAAAACTAAAATATTATAAATACTGATTGAATGCGCAGAAATTATTTAAAAAATATTAGCATAAAATTTTAAATTTAGACACAATGCTTTAAAAATTCACTATTGAACAAAATAAAAAATTTAAACTTAATATTCAAATCATTAATGATAAAATACTACACAAAAAAATTATAAACATAGTTAATTCAATATAAATAAATAAATAAAAATCTAAAAATGGATATTTTTCTATCCAATTAAGACCTCTCTCTAAAACTAAAAGTAATAGAATCTTAAAAATTCTTATTTTGAGCTTCGACTTGAGTTCAAAATTGTGATGTTAACTTTTGCTGCTTGAACTCGGTTTTCAATTTTAGAATTTTTAACTTAAAGTTCGGCACATTGCTAATCCAAACGTCTTATAGTTTCTTTGCTCTCCTTTGAACTTAAATTCAAATTGCTGAATTGAGAAATTTACATTTATTATTATGCGTTTATTTTCGAAATTAAATTTCGATAGTTTTTTCTTTATTACTCAAATTTTCTTTATGTTGATTTCTTGATCGTCTTATGTTTGAAAATCATCATGCCAAAATTAATAGGATTTTATTTGAATATTTATAAAAAATTAGAATAAATAATTTCGGACACTCATATCTTCATTTCATTCAATATCATGTTGGTATTTGTCTCTGCACTTGGACTCCGACGATTTATGACACTAATAACTTTAAATGATTTTGAATTTCACAATTAATTAAATATATAGATTCAATTTTATATAAAACCACGATGATACTGGTATTAAAGACATCCTGAGCAAATCCACTCTAGATGACTTTGTACTAATCTTGATTGTTCAGGAAGCCTGAAAAGACGAAATTGCCCTTCTCTGTTCTGCAAAAAGAGGTGCTCATGACACTAATACCCTCGGGTCGCTTCCACGTGTGCGCGAATCCCGTCACTAGATGTACCCGCATCTAAGATCTGGTCCCACAAAATAAACGGTTGAGATCTACCTGGTCTTCTGGTCTCAGCAGTCGTAAGAAAAACCGAGGACCACCTTTGCAACCACAATTTATAGTAGTAGCTAAATTCAATATGCCCCGCCACACGCCACCACCGGCCTCCGCCGATGTCCGCCATATTCAGCAATACCCGTTCGAAAACCTCTACGCCGGAAAATATCCTTGAATAGAAATCGGAAATTCAAAATGAAATCTACTCCACCACAACATCATTCTGCCGGAAATTCGCATCCAGAATCGCTGCAATCGCCAGTGATGGAACTAGAACAAGCGTCGGAATCCCACCGTCTATTACCCCCGCCGGAAACGCCTTCCTCCGACGCCGTTTCAGGAAAATATGTTGTGGAGGACGTCGAGGAGGATGAGGAAGCAGCGTACGAGGCACGAGAGAAGATTCTGATCAGCGATTTCGAATTGGAATCCGATAACCACTCCGGCGTGCCGCCGTTTTCGTTTAAGAAGCTGTGGCTGTTCACCGGTCCTGGTTTTCTGATGAGCATAGCGTTTCTAGATCCGGGGAATCTCGAAGGCGATCTTCAGTCGGGGGCGATTGCTGGTTACTCGCTTCTGTGGTTGTTGATGTGGGCGACAGCGATGGGGCTATTGATTCAGCTTCTCTCGGCGAGGATAGGTGTGGCGACCGGTCGGCATTTGGCGGAGCTTTGTCGCGAGGAGTATCCTTATTGGGCGGGAATTGTTCTGTGGTTCATGGCGGAGCTTGCGCTGATTGGGGCAGATATTCAGGAGGTCATTGGAAGTGCGATTGCGATTCAGATTTTGAGCCGCGGATTGATTCCTCTTTGGATTGGAGTTCTAATAACTGCTTCTGATTGGTATGGATTCCGAAATCTGTTGAAAATTTAAATCGATTTTGGAATTACACTATGCAATTCTTCAATTATGTTCATAGGTAGATAAACTGAATTGAAACTCTTATCATTAACATCAACAATGGAGTTTTTTCTTTCTTTTTCATCATCTGCAATGATATGGTTAGTAGTGATTCAATCTGTTCATGGTTAATTCTCGTAATGCAGAAATCACTAACTTTAGATTTTGGTGGAATCTGATTGCATTTTGCATTAAAGCATCATATCTGATGGAAATGGTTTCATGAGTGGTGCTGTTTGCAAGTCAGCCATTTTTATATATCCTCTGTTGTGTATTGAGCTGAAAAGGCACTTTAATTCTAAAGCAAAAGGATATGTTATGTGGTGCTTTCATAGTCACAGAGCATATATATCTTTATTACAGACACTAATGGTTGCTGATGCTGCTTTTCTGTTTTTCGGATAGTCGATGCTTTGATCATTTGAATTGTCTTTTTGTGAAATTTCGATACATTTTTATATTTTTGTTGCTCGAAAACTATGGTGTGAGGAAGTTGGAAGCTCTTTTTGCAGTTCTTTTTTCGACTATGTCATTTTTGTTATCTTTACATTATAAAACCAATGGTTGCTGATGCTACTTTTCTGTTTGTTGGGATAGTTGATGATTTGATCATTTGAATTGTCTTTTTGTGAAATTTTGATACATCTTTATATTTTTGCTGCTCAAAAACTATGGAGTGAGGAAGTTGGACGCTGTTTTTGCAGTTCTCTTTTCGACTATGCCATTTTTGTTATCTTTACATTATGAAACCGATGGTTGCTGATGCTGCTTTTCTGTGTGTCGGATAGTCGATGATTTGATAATTTTAATTGTCTTTTTGTGAAATTTCGATATAGTCTTATATTTTTGCTGCTTGAAAAGTATGGAGTGAGGAAGTTGGAAGTCGATCTAATTTCGACTATGTCATTGCTGTTATCTTTACATTATGACACTAATAGTTGCTGATGCTGCTTTCCTGTTTGTCCTATTGTCGATGATTTGATCATTTGAATTGTCTTTTTGTGAAATTTCGATACAGCTTTATATTTCTGCTGCTCGAAAACTATGGAGTGAGGAAGTTGGAAGCTGTTTTTGCAGTTCTTATTTCAACTATGGCATTGTCGTTTGCTTGGATGTTCATCGACGCCAAACCAAGTAGAAGGGAGCTCGTGATCGGTTAGATGCTTAACTATAATCTCAATGTGATAGGAAACAGAAATAAAATCATAATAATGATTTAAACTGATCGGGGGTCGCAGTCTTGCAGGCCTTTTGGTTCCAAAACTTAGCTCGAAGACAATCCGGCAAGCCGTGGGAGTCGTGGGCTGTGTAATAATGCCTCATAACGTGTTTTTACACTCTGCTTTGGTGCAATCAAGAAGCATAGATTCTAACAAGAAAGGCCAGGTCCAGGAGGCAATTAATTACTACTCCATCGAATCCTCAGCGGCGCTTCTTGTATCTTTCATCATCAATTTATTTGTCACGACTGTTTTCGCCGAGGGATTCTATGGAAGCAAGCAAGCGGAGAGTATAGGCCTAGTGAATGCAGGGCAGTATCTCGAGGAGAGGCACGGCGGCGGGATTCTCCCGATCCTCTACATATGGGGCATCGGGTTATTGGCGGCTGGACAGAGTAGCACGATAACCGGGACGTATGCTGGACAATTTATAATGGGAGGTTTTCTTAATCTCCGGCTAAAGAAGTCGGTGAGGGCTTTGATTACCCGGAGCTGTGCTATTATACCGACTATCGTTGTGGCGCTTGTTTTTAACAAGTCGGAATCGTCCCTCGATGTCCTTAATGAATGGCTCAATGTTCTGCAGTCGGTTCAGATACCGTTTGCGCTCATCCCGCTTCTCACATTGGTGGCTAAGGAGCCCGTCATGGGAGATTTCAAGATCGGCCCTACACTTAAGGTGAGTCGTCGATCATTCTTTCATTCCTTGTTTTATGATTTTTATGCGAAAGACTACATGTCGGGCGAGTTTTAGAACATGGTCGGGAATGGTTTGAAGAGCTTAGTACATACTTGTGGACTACATAATACGTAATAAATAAATAATAATAAAAAAGAAACTATGCATTTTTCAACTAGTTTAAACTTTTAGGTGAGACGATCATTTTTTATTACTCCGTTTTATGATATTTGTTGGACTACATAATACGTAATTAATGATGCATTTTCCAATTAGCTTAAGTTTTTTGAGTCGATCATTTCTTTATTCCTTGTTTTATTATATCCGTTGGACTAAATAATATGTAATTAATGATGCATTTTTCAACTAGGTTAAGTTTTTAGTTGAGTCGATCATTTTTTTATTCCTTGTTTTATTATATCAGTTGGACCGATCATTCGTCATTCCTCGTTTTATGATATATGTGAACTACATAATACATAATTAATTATGCATCTTGCAATTAGCTTAAATTCGATCATTTTTTAATTCTTCGTTCTATGATATATATGTGAGATGATAATATGGTATCAGCGGTATCTAGTTATCAAACCACGACGACTTTTCTCGATATAGTTGTGGAATGCACGATATAACCTGTTTGTGAATCGTAGTAATTCGCAATAATACGATAATGTTCAATGATTCATCTTATCGGAACTCATTGCTGTAATATTCATTACAGTTTGCTGCATGGACAGTGGCCGCGCTAGTGATGGTGATTAACGGGTATCTACTGCTGCACTTTTTCCTCTCCGAAGTTACCGGGCTGTTCTTCGGCTGCCTCATCGCCTCCGGGAGTGCGGTGTATGCAGCACTTGTAGTGTACCTCATCTTACATAGCAACAGCAACCAATTCAGTTGAACATCGAATGATGCAACGCCCCCAGCATCGGGAGTAACTGATGCGACTTCCGGCAGCTCCCCTGAGAAACGGTCACTTCCCTTTCGCCGGAATCTTTTTGAGTTAACGACAGGTTCGACCGAAGCTCACTCCTCGAACTATATGTATATATATATATCACAATTCTGAATTTGCAGATTTGAAACTGAAATTTTCAGTTGATCGATCCATCCCGGGAGGTGCAATGCAAAGTGGGATGGATCTTCTGTTCTTTCACCTAAATGTAAGTAAAAAAAATGTGTAATTTAGTTGGGAATTGAATATGTGGTTCTTGTGACGATGATCTTCCGCTGCTTCATTGGTTTTGTTTTTAAATTTTTCGTGTTTATTAACATTTTAGATTTTACTGTATGTTTAGTGTAAAGGTTTGTTAGACCTAATGTAAATTTAAAAAAATAAAAAAATAAATAAAAAAAGAGAGATTGTTAGGGTGTGTTTGATTGGGGGTTTGGATTTTGAGTTGGGATTTGAATAGTAAAAATTTTAAATTTGAATAGTTGTATGATGTGATATAAATAGGTGTTGATGTGATGTTTTGAATGTAAATTGATTTTTAGTATAATATAAAAAATAAAAAACAGGTGTTTGATTTTATATTTTTTTTTTGGGAAAATACTAATAGAATGATATTTATATACAAAATTATACAAATATAATGATATTTTTAATGATAAGTAAAATGATGTAAAAGGTAAATGTGATCTAGGCGAATTACTTAGTCATTAATCTGATTGTTACAAAGAATTTAATTGGTCAATTAAGGGTAGGTAATGACACTAATAGAAGGCATTACGTGCAAACGTTACATAGAGTTAATGCAAACATTACGAGAAAAAAAGACATTCATCAACAAATTACTATCTTTTATTTTCCTTTCTTTTACTTGTATTTTGTTTTTATTTTTTCTTAAATAACAATGTATTCGATATTTTAATAAATTGCAACTCATTTATGCAGTTTTTTCCTCGATTGACCTAACATCATTAAACAAACATATAATCATTATTATTTGTTTGGGGGGTTAGATTTTGAGTTGGGATTTGAATAGTAAAAATTTTGAATTTAAATAGTTGTATGATGTGATATAAATAAGCGTTGATGTGATGTTTTGAATGTAAAATTGATTTTTAGTATAATAGAAAAAATAAAAAATAGGCGATTAATTTGATATTTTTGGAGGAAAAAAATAGAATGAATAGTGAAAATTAAATCCAATCCCCCAAACAAACACACCCTTGTTGAATTCAGCAAAGTTTGGACATGAGTAGCCATAATTCAATTTTGGCATCGAATTGTCATATAAATATAGATGTACAATGTAAAATAAACAAAAGAAAAAGAAAAATAAAAATTACACTATGGGGTAATAAAAATAATTGATTTGTGTTTTTTTTTTTTTAATGATTACTTGGGTTTTTACATTATGATATATATATATATATTTATAGAAAAATAAATAACTAAATGGTAACCAATTGAAGATCTCTTTTTAAGGGTTCCTAATAATACTAATAATAATAATAATAATAATAATCTGTAAATTATTGGTCAATTGGACAATTCGATTTCTTTAATCCTATCCGATTGATTGATTATAAGAAGATGACCAATTTGAAAACTGTTATTTTGAAAATTGATCAATTTAAATACTGATATTTGAAATTTGCACAAAAGTAATTTGACCTATTTTGGTATTATTATTATTTTTTATTTTATTTTTTTGCAACACTTATTCCCTCCTAAATCCAACACACATATATATAACTATTTTCAGTCGTACAATTATATTGCTCTTGCAACCAATTAGCATTACTGTTGTACTCTCTTCGTCCAACTGAAAGATTGTCATTTTTTTATTTTTGTTTATCCCAAAATAAAATTACTATTTCCTAATTTACTAATTGTACTACCTACCTAACATAATAAATACCATTCAAACTTACATTATATTACACAAATGCCGTTATTTTTATATTACACAATACTAATATAGGCATTTTTGTCTTTTTCGTTACAACCCATTATAATACTAATATTAAAAAATTTACGTGCAAAAAGTAAACGACAATCTTGCACCGGAACAAAGGGGTGAATTGTGACCTCGTACGATCGTGTCGGGTGAGCAAGAGCCGCTTCGTCACAGTACTGACTTACTGACTTATGGGCTAACAGGTATATAACAATTCGATACCAAGATCAAATTATGACTATTCATAGACCAAATTTTGACGAATTCAACTGCGCAATGCGCAATTATAACTCTTCGTGGACATATTTTATTATAATTTCTACGTATCTTTGTATTATTTAAAGTTTACATTTAAAAAAAAAACATCCTATGCAGTCGCTCATGTTGTCCAAATTTATGTTAAACTTTTAGGTTTTGTTTGTTTTGTAAATTTGTTTGAAAATATATTTTTTATATGAGATACAAATATTTATATATATATAACATACGAAACAACGAATGTGTATAATATATTAATTTTTAAAAACATGATGAATTTTTTTTAACAAAAATAACACACCCTCAGTTTTGAATTGTTATAAAAAATTATTTTTATTTTCCTTAGCAAAAAGTTATATTAATTTTTTTTTATATATATTTTTAATATTAATTATTAAAAATTGCGTCGCAAATATAAAAAATATTATTTTCGTATTTAATTGTTAATTTTTTATGAAGAATAAAATATATACTTATATATTATTTAATGTATATATATATTGATTTTATATATATTTATAAAAACTTGTATTATTCAAGAATACAAATTAAATAAACCAAAAATAATAATTATTATAAAACACTTTTATTGAAACTCTTTTTCAAATATTTAAATATAGATTTTATCTACTATAAAAAATACATCAAATAAAATACTATTTTTTTTATTTTTTTTATTTTTTATTTCTAAATCTAATATAAACTAAAAAAAACATATACTATTATTTATCCTATATATATATATTAAAGTATAACTCTTGCTATGCAGTTATTTTTATACTCAATTAAATTTTAATTTAATTTATAAATTATATATACGATTTCTTGTAAATATTTTAGTTATTTATAATAATTGAGTAATTATACAATCTGAAAAATATGATTTACATTTTAATATATATATGAAATACTAATAATTATTAATAAAATATTTAAAAGATTGGGGGTTTGTTTGGCTACAATTTTTTTTTATACTATTTTTAATATATATTTTTTATTTTCAATTTACATTTAATATAAAATATTATTTTTTATATTATCGATATAATCCTTATATATCATATTAAAAAAATATTTAAAGCGAAAATACTAACAAAATAAATTCTACATTAATAATCAAGTGTATTAAAAATTAATTTTATATATTTTTTTATATTAAATTTAGAATGAGATATTGATTTAATTTATAATTTAAATAATATTTCGTAAAAAAATAATATATTTGAGTAAATAATATTAATATGAATTTAAAATCACACTCCAACAATCTAATACAATTTACATAAAAAGAAAAAATATATATATATTAGTATTTTTTTTAAATATAAAAATTCCTAAACTTTTGTATTTTCCATAAAAAAAAAAATATTTTCTTTTTCTGTTTATCTTATTTTACTTAACATTAAAAATATTATTATATTTATATAATTTTTACTATATTTTGATATAATAATTAATATTTTTAATATAAAAAGTCTAATTTTATTTTTTTTATGACGTGAAAATCCGATTTGAACCATGATTTTACGGTGACAATGCCAACCTTTACGCCACCGCCATCAGATCATCACTTACAAACTTAAAAAAATTAATAAAAACAAAATATATATTTTTATATAAAAAAATATTTTTTATTGGACTATTTTTCTATGCGAAGGTAGAAACCGAAAATGTAAACCGGGAAAATTGGGGGCAGGATTCAAAGTCCCAAAACTGAATACAGAAGAAACCCTAATCGAGCCAAATCCAAGATTCCTGTCATTTTCAATTTTCGTTTTAGTTTTGCCTCTGATCCCCGCTCATTCGTTCAATCGAAAATTTTTCAAACAAGTTCGTGTTAGCGGTTATTCTCGTCCCAATTTGGCATATATAATCATACCCCTCTTTTCAGACAAAACCGCGCCTTATCTTTTCAGTCTCTTGCCCGTGTAGTTTGGTTTTCCTGGTTTCAGCAATGGCGGACCAGGAAAATTGCAGGAGAGTCACACGCTTGGCGGCGAAGAAGAGAGCAGCAGCTGCCGAAACATTCGTGTCTGAACAAAATAAAAAGCCTAGAGTGGTGTTGGGTGAGATTCAAAATGTAGATGTAGATGTGAATTTGCGAATAAATCAGAACATTGGTGATGACAATGGGAAGAAGAAGAAAGCTGTGGCTAAGAGGAATGTAAAGAAAGGTAAAGTAAGTGTGAAGGAGACGGAAAGCTCGCCAAAAATAGATGAAGACGGCGGCGGGGATGACCCGCAAATTTGTGGAGCGTATGCTTCTGATATATATGATTATCTTCGCGAGATGGAGGTCAGTGGTTAGAATATTTACTTTCTCAGTTACCAGTAATTTCATTTTTGAATGCTTGATTCAGCTTGAAATTTAAATTAAAGCCAGTTTTTGCTAGGGTTTTAAGATTTCTGTGGATTTGGTTGAATTTTTGGTTTCGGAGTTTCTAGTGAAATCTTGCTGTAAATTCACAATATTTACTTTCTTGTGTTTCACCTCGAGATTTCAATTAAAGCTTGTTTTGACAGGGTTTTAGAATTTCTATAGATTTGGTTGAGTTTTGGTTTTCAGAATCTCTACTGAAACTTTGTCGTATAATCACATTATATACTTTCTTGATTATTTCACTGTTGAATACTTACTATTTACCTTAGGGTTTTAATTAAAGCTTGTTTTGACAGGGTTTTGGGATTTCTATCGATTTGGTTGGGTTTTGGTTTCAGAATCTCTGCTGAAACTTTGTTGTAAAATCACATTATTTACTTTCTTGATTATTTCACTGGTGAATACTTACTATTTACCATAAGATTTCAATTCAAGCTTGTTTTTGACAGGGTTTTAAGATTTCTGTAGATTTGGGTGAATTTGGGTTTTCATAATCCTTGTTGTAAATTCATCTTTTCAATTCATGGCTGTCTTTCCGGTCTAATTGTCCGATGAATATATTTAATCGAGTCCCTGAGTTGGTGATTTTTAGAATGCTTGCTGATGATATTATGCAATAATCAAATTTCAGTGCATTGGCTGACCAAATTTTGTTTTAGATTAGTGAATTCGGGATTCGGCACTAGATTTGAATTTCTTTGTTCAATGCAGATGGAGCCAAAGAGAAGGCCACTGCCCGATTACTTAGGGGTGATTCAAAAAGATGTGACTGCAAACATGAGAGGTATTTTGGTAGATTGGCTAGTCGAAGTGGCTGAAGAATACAAGCTTCTCTCGGAGACTTTATACTTAGCTGTTTCGTACCTCGACAAATTCTTGTCAGCAAATGTTATCAGTAGACAGAAGCTTCAGCTTCTTGGTGTTTCTTCGATGCTGATTGCAGCGTAAGATAGTTACTAACTTGTCTTGAATTATCCTCTTCCATAATAGTAATTAATGATCCAATTTTGCTAACGGGCTTTCCTCTGTAGAAAATATGAAGAAATTACTCCGCCGCACGTGAAAGATTTCTGTTATATAACGGACAACACCTACACCAAAGAAGAAGTAGTAAAAATGGAAGCTGATGTGCTCAAATCCCTCAATTTCGAGATGGGCAATCCCAATGTGAAGACTTTTCTCCGGTACAAAATTTAACCTGAAGGTTAATCGTTCTTGGTTAATCCTTTTTTACTTTAATAGCTTGTTTGGCTAAGGAATGTGCTTATTTTGATTTATTGATATGCCTTGAATTTAGTTTGTTATTTCGTTGAGTGTTTATGGGAGTTTTGTTGCCCGGCTAGCGAGTCGGGGGGGTCAAGGGGGACTTCGCCCCCTTTCTTTGGGTTCGGGGTATGCAGTGTTAGGCTTTTGAATTCATAATTGAGCTTAGCTCGTATGTTGTATTCTTTTAGTTTATTTGAATAAATTTAGAGATATTCAATCTAAGTTAATCTGTATTAGAAATCGGTATCTGTAATCTATAATTTAGTTGCCCTTAATAAATTTATTCTTTGTTTTTGTCTGTGGATGAAATCAACACATTATTGCTTAACCTCATAAATTAGTGTTTTCTTTACGTCTTTGTTTGTTATTTGATTATTGATCCTAATTCGTTACAATATGATTTTTCTCTAGCAGAAGGTTCACCAAGATTGCTCAAGATGACTTTAAAGTAAGCTTAAACCTACCTCCAACCTAATATTCTCTTGAATTTCAATTTTGTTACATCGTCCTTGATTGATTATTCGGTGTTCTTGCAGCGCTGCAGTTTGCAGTTCGAGTTCTTGGCTTGCTATTTGGCAGAGTTAAGTCTGCTCGACTACGCTTGCGTGAAATTCTTGCCTTCCACAATCGCTGCATCGGTCATATTCCTCGCAAGATTCACACTCCGCCCGGATCTATGTCCTTGGGTATAAAAATAAACCAACCCTTGTCCAGGTCGAGCAAGTTAATCCAAGATACATTTTTTAACCTTAATGTAGTATTTTGTATTCCACAGAATTCGGCGCTCAAACAATTCTCGGGTTATAAGCCTGCAGACCTAAAGGAATGCATCTGCCTCATTCATGAAATGCAATCTAGTCGAAGAGGCAGCCCGTTGGTTGCAGTCCGGGATAAATACAAGCAACCCAAGGTCTGATTAGGATTGATTTCATTGACACATCCATTAATTTGTTTCGATTATGTTACTTATGCTAAAGATCATTCCTTTAACAGTTCAAAAGGGTGTCGACGCTGCCTCCGCCTTCGGAAATTCCCGATTCCCTTTTCGACGAAACGAAAGATGCATGACTAGAATTCTAGCTAAGGCTTATTCCCTGAATTGGATTGGATTGTACAGAAATCTTGCATTTGTGATTTTGATCTTGTTCTTGTTCTTGCTTAGAACTATCCTTTGTTTGTTCTTGTTTTTAGGTGTTTAGGAATGCGATTTTTCAGCAGTGGTTAATTGTAGTATTGTAATGTAGATGAAGGAAAATGGGTTTTGTGTTTTGAGTTGTAATCTCCTTAATTCATTGGACAATCGCAGCCGTTGGTGGGTCTTTTCGATTTTGAATTTGGGCCGTCGATTTGTTTACACGTGGATTCGGGTCCATTATTGATTGTCAGACACGCAGCGGAAGAGACGGTAACTCTACCGGAAAATCTGGAGTGATCTGCACCGTTGATTGTGTGGGGGTCACTCTGTGATGGACGGTGTGGATCGTCTCACGCTATTAAATGCAACTACCGTTCAAGAATTTTATATTTTTAAATATTTTATTTATTTTTGGACAGCAATAAAAAGCTGAACGTCGTCGAAAACGCAAAGTCCCCTTCAAAAAAAAAATCCCCAAATCCGCCATGGGCGAGACCGAGCAATCGCAGATCTCCGACGTGACAATCGAGCAATCGCAGATCTCCGACGGCACCGGCGCGGCGGAGCGGCAACCGAACATTACCTTCAGCATATGGCCGCCGACTGAGCGCACGCGCGATGCGGTCAGGAACCGCCTAATTGAGACGCTTTCGTCGCCTTCCATTCTTTCGAAGCGATACGGAACTCTCTCACGCGAGGATGCTGTCGACGCTGCCCAGTCCATCGAGAACGAGGCGTTCGAAGTGGCGGGGAAGGCAGCGACTGCCGACGACGATGGGATCGAGATTTTGCAGGTTTATTCCAAGGAAATTAGTAAGAGGATGCTGGAGAAAGTGAAGGCTAGATCTGGTGAGTCTACGTCTGCTCCTGAGACGACAGCGGCAACGGACGCGCCGAATAAGGCGGAGGAGGAAGATAACGGTTCGACGGCGCCGCCGCAGAGTGAGAAAACCGAGTCCGTTGCCGGCGACGAATGAGTAATTGAACGGTTGCGACCTTTCGTTTCCCCTTCTTTACGCCTTTATTTTATAAGCATGTCTGTGGAATCTCTATCGGATGCTCTTTTTTTTATTATTATTATTGTGCTGAGATCTGTTGAACTAGAGTACTGTTGTTGTGTGGATTCATGGTGCTAATATTATTTTAATTAAATATTATCACATTATCCTCCATCAATTGTGTTTTTTATACTGAATTTGTGAAGTTTCCCTTTTTGCTAGTTTTTGTTTATTGTGTTCCTAATTACCTTTTGAGGCATTTATTGCATTTTTAAAGATTTTTCTTTGGTTTTGTAGTGCAGATCATTAGGTTTATACAGATGTCTGATAACTTGTTACTGAGAATGCATTTACAGTGTCACTTTTTGAATTGAGTAGAGGTGTTTATTTGCTACTTGCAGCTGGTTGAGGTTTGTGGTTTATGGAAAGTATAGGAATAAACTAAGTTTTAGAACAAGATTCGCACATTCTGGATTTAAGAGCTGTAAAGAGTCTTAGATGAACAAACAAGATAGTGCGATTTTCGACACATTAGTATCACTCTTTGAAGGAATAAAGGGTTGAGCTTAGTCGTGATGGTTGAGTGTGAAGGATGTCGGAAATGGATTCATTACATGGTATGAAATAGTGAAGTTTTCGTTCTTTTTTTGGACATTGCTTTTGAGTTATAACTCACCCTTGGAAAGTCTGCAACATATTCTCTCATTGTTTTTGAAAATTTTGGGGGGATTTTGTACAATATTTTCAAAAACACTCGGTTTAGTTTCTAAATTATGAGAGAGAATTGTGCGGGCTTTCCACATACATGTGAATTATAAGTAATTTTACCTTTTCAAGATAAAGGCCTATCCTTAAAAGACTTACCTTTTCAAGATAAAGGCACTGTTCGTTAGTGGTTTTGTTGAACATCATCAATTATATAAGTAACTATATATTAATATGTGGAGGTATTTGTTTTTTGTTAAAAAACTGCTTTGTGGATTCATCTATATTATTCTAATAAATATATATATATATATATAGGAATGTTGTAGACAATATCAATGTTCTTTTTGGTTACTTCTTTTGGATTGATGTGAGGTGCCTTACAAGTCACTTCACAATTCTGAAAACTGTTGGGTGGGTGGTAGTGCTTAGCAAAATTCTAGATTAAGAATGATCAAGTATAGAATATATATATATATATGTATATTTCTGGCCCCATGTCTAGTTGGTGACAGGCTTAAACAAGAAGAATTGTTCCAGCTGGTGATAGACATTAGTGACCAGCAGAAGTAGTAATTAAGCAGCTCAAAGAATGAGTTTCTTAAAATAGCTGAAGACAGACGAAAGTTTCGAAGCACAAATAGTTTAATGGCCTGGACCTCTCTTGCTTGGCCCCGAGGCCAAAATGAATGCCAATCCTCTTCCAGTGGAATTGATGCAAGAAATGAATCGAAATGGATTGCTTCTGCTCCCGGCTCGGCTCCCTTTCTCAGCTGCTGTGTCTTCCATGGCGGGGCGTAAAGATCGGGAATTAGCCGGACAGAACTCTTTGCCTGTGATCAGTACTGTCATCAGAAGCACCAATGGTATGCACCTCCATCTCCAGTTCTCCATTTTTGTGATCTAATGTGGCTTCTTTGTTGTCTTCTACAATGTGGCAATACATACATATATATATATATATATACATATAGTGAATGTGTTTGGCTTTGCAGTGATCCATGAGCCCTTTTGGGAATTTGACTTTAATTTATATGCTGTTTTTTCTTCCATGGGAGATTTATAGAGAAATCTTGGGATACTTAGAAAGGGACTGCAATATATACATGATATATATATATATTCCCTCCGTCCTAATATAATAGTCTTATCAACTACCAATATAATATCAATAATCCTATGTGTTTTGTTTTGGGATCAGAAGTAGCCATTTTAGCAAACTCCATTTTCAAGCGGGTAGTTGTGCGTGTCAGAAACAATTCTCAAATTCAACTGTCGGCATGTATTGTATTGTCTGCTGCTATTTTGTGTTCAAACTCTTCCAACTAATACTTTGGAATTAGTAGCATGTATTTTCACCCATTAGCCTTGGCAGGGCGGCCACGATTGATAATCGAATATTTGAAATCGCAAATCGTATCTGAATCGAAAATTTTTGTTAACCGAAATATTTGTAGTATTTGCAAATAACAACCGAACCGGAATTAAGAAAAAATATATTAAAAAATAATTGAGATTCTAATTAAATAAAAAATATTTGCAAATATTTCAAATCCGAATTAAATATAATTATTAATATAAAATTTAAAATATAATAATATAAATATATAATATGTTTGGTTTGGTTAACCGAACCGAAAAAAATATGAAAAATTGAAACCGAATCGAACAAATATCAAATATGAAATATTTGTATTCGAACTGAATTTCCTTGGTTAACTGAAAATTCGATTAAGCAAATTTGACGGTTCGGTATAAAAAATATATTAATTATGAATCATAATATGTGAATAATTAATTTATAGTTATTCAGCTAAGTGCTGAAAAAAATATTTTAGCATCTATGTGATCTTACTCCTTTTATAAATATATATAGTGAGAATGTTTTGGTAGTTAATTGAGAGGCACTTTCATTAAAAAAATAAAGAAATAAAAATAATCATATATTTCCTCATATGCAATTCAAAATATTTTTATGATCATAAATACACCTTTTGTCAATAATATTAATATATAATACATATTTATTAATTTTTATATTTTTTACTCAATTTTTTGTATATCACATAAAAGAAATATTTACTCAAGTTATCTCATAAAACAAACAAATCCTACCATTCTAATAAAGAGATTAAATTAAAAAAAAATAAAAAAACAAAAAAATCAGATAGAACACATCCCTAAATTAAAACACATCCCTAAATTAAACATCTTCAAAGAAATTTATTTGAATTTCTCTACGGAATAACTCGGAAATACTATAGCAATGGCGACGGCTACAGTGCTGAACATCACACCATGTGCTGTTAAACAACACATGGTATTACTATATACATCGCATTGTATATGCTACTGTAATACAAATATATTATACGAACAAAGAACACATGTTATAGTCTTATCAGCACATCGTGTGCTGTCTGACAATACAAAATATTATTAGAGACAACACATTATATATGTGAATATAATACAAATACAACACATGAACTAACAACACATGTTATAGTTTCATACAACACACAATAGTTGCTTTTAGCGCATGACATACTTTTATACAACATATTTCTTATTATAAAAAAAACAGCACATATCTTTATTATACACAATATATATTGTATATAATAATATTGCTTGTTTTTTGTTTTAATATTGAAATTCTTTTCTAAATTATGAAGAAATGCACACAACATTAACCAAAAACAAACATCACCACCGACTCAGATTACCTATCATACATGGTTCGCCTAGTATGACTTGTCTGTCGGACCTAGTTTGCAGAGTATTAGGTTCAGTCGAAGATTTTACCCAGCATACACTTTTGGGTAGCGACTACGGGTTTCCACGTCATAAAAAAAACAAAAAAAAAAAAAAACAAACAAACATCACCACAAAAAACAAGTACTAAATTGATTCTCCACCATTAGAGTTACTTCTTTCTACCTTAGGTGAAAATACTTTCATTGGTAAAAAAGTTTTGAGATCAATGGTAAAAATGAAAAAGAGAGATTGATGGTGCCTTTACTACATCATACAAAATCACGAGTTTAAAAGTCTTTAAAAATTGGTAGAAATTTTTTATAAATGAATCATTATATTCACTCTAGGGATAGAAATTAAGATATTCAATTTTTCAAACGGTTTGAGAAAATTAATCAAAAAATAAATAAAGATTTTCTAAGATACTTTATAAGCGCTCTGTTTACACAACATATTTTTACTCATTTGATCCTATTCATTTTTACAAAAATATCATATCAAATACATTTTTTTTTTTTCACAAAATATCAAATTAAATACTAATTTTTTACTCTTTCCAAACTTTCAAATTTTCAAGAACCTTCAAAAACTATTGTCTAAACAAATCCTAGTATTTTGTATATTTAAAATTTGTAAGGAAATGAAATTGAACGACAAATTAGCTAAATGAAATAGATTCAAACTCAGTTTAAAAAGTAAAAAAATTATACTCCTTTCGTCCAAATACAATAGTTTTGTTTACTATTTTTGTCTGTCCCAAAACAATAGTCCTATTTCCATAAATAATCATATCACTGTAAAACTACCCTTATTTTTTCATTATTATTACACAATTGCAACTACTTTTTACACTAATACACTCACAAGGACAGAAAAGTCTTTTATCCGTATTTTTTACCCACTATCAATATAATATAAATATTCTTTAAATCCCGTGTCAAACGCAACCCAGACTATAGTTTTGAGACGGAGGGAGTATAAACTCGTTAAAAAGACTATAAAGTACAAACATAATTGAAAGAAACTACTCCCTCCGTCCCGGTGAAGGAGTGGCGTTTTTTTGCACATAGATTTTTTAATATTAGTATTATATTGGATTGTAATAAAAAAGAAAAAAATAGTAATGACATTTGTAATGACATTTGTGTAATATTAGTAATGATATTTGTGTAATATATTGTAAGTTTGAAGAGTATTTATTATGTTAGGTAAATAGTATAATTACTAAATTAGAAAATTGTAATCTTATTTTGAGACGGATAAAAATATAAAATAACAATATTTCAATGGGACCGAGGAAAAAAAAATGAGAAAAAATAACAAAAACAATAAAGATAAAAAGATACTCTTAAAGTTATGTTGCTGATTGTGTGTCGGCCCAAAAATGGGATGGGATCAAGAAGCTACGACTATTATTTTATATATATATATATATATTCAATAAAAATGATAATATTATTTTATATATACATAAAAATAAATAAATTATAATATGACTTTCAATAAAAATGATAATATATACATATAACTATATACGATATATAATACATATTCTTCATCCCTCACAGTTTAAACAAAAACATATTTAAGTTTACATCTTATTTCAAATCATAACAAACAAAACCGTTTACCTAACATTAAAAAAAACACACACACACTAGAAAAACAGAAAGAAACACACTCATTCTTATGTTAGAAATTTTGGGAAAAAATAACGAGATTGTGTTATTGATCATCAAAATCAAAATAAGAAGCATATATATATATATAAATATAAAATAATATTTCTAGTTAAAAATTAATTTATAAAATTTGGAAACTTACTAAAACAATTAAAAATTATCCAAATACATGCACGGGTGTGTTCGTTTGGGAGAAATCCCAAAAATTTTACTATTTATCAATTTTTTTTATAAAAAATATCAAATCAAATATTTATTTTTTATATTATATTAAAAATTAATTTTATATTTAAAATATCACATCAACACTTATTTATATCATATTATACCACTGTTACATTTGAAATTTTTTACTATTCAGATAAACTCAAAATCCAACCCCCAAACAAACACGCACAATATAAATATATATATATATAGATAGATGGTGGGCCACTGTCACTACATGTAATATTATTTAGAATATATATAGATGGTGGGGCCACTGTCACGGTCAAATATTAATATACATACGTATGATTTGTATAATTTTAATTTGAAATTAAATATTTTATTTTAAATAATTTTGATACAATATTTTATAAAAATATATATTTATCAAAATAATATTAATTTATATTTATATTTTTAAAATACAAAATAAACATATTCACAAATAAAAATAATAAAAGAATATTCGATTTAATAAAAATAACTATTATGTAAAAAAAATAAAAATAAAAAGGAAAGTATTGACGAATTTTTATTACTTAATTTTTAGAAATATTTCTAAATATAGATCGGTGAGACCCAGTGCTATTACTGAATTTTAACATGTGATATTTTTCTATTGACTAATTCGCAAAAAAATATTAACTTAATATTTACAAAAATAGATTATTGTATATTTAAAATTTGACCAAATCCATGTCATAATCATTTTTTAATTTGATTTTGATTCGATATACTATGATATGCCAACAGAATCAGATCCGACGGTCACGATTTCATCTCGCTTCTTCTGTTAGGGTTCCTCGGTATCCCCTCCTATATAAACCCTCTCTGCTCCTCTTTTTTTACTGCGGTGCAGAAAAGCTTTCTGCCCACCCAAGAAAAAAACATACCAAAAAATTTGCAATTTTTTTCCCCTATTTTTCGATCAATCTGTTATTCATCTGCATTGTATTGTTCTCTCTTCTTTGGCTTATTTACTGAAAAAAAACCCTAAAAAGATTGTTGCTGCTGTGGTATCAGAGGGTTATTCATCATCTAGGTTTGAAAAGAGAGCAGAGTCATTGTGAATTGGGGGAATTATGGCGCAGAATCAGAATGCGGCAGCGGCGGCGACGAACGGTGTGTCGGCGCCGGGGGAGGCGGCGGAGCAGTCTCAATCGACGTCGCTCTATGTGGGCGATTTGGATTTGAGTGTGATTGAATCGCAGGTTTTCGATCTTTTTAGTCAAGTCGGTCAGGTGGCGTCGGTTAGGATTTGCAGGGACATTGGCACTCAAGTCAGCCTTGGATATGCTTACGTTAATTTCAACAATTCTGAGGATGGTTAGATTTTCACTTTCTTTCATGAGACTAAGTGTTGGTGGTGAATTTCGGTCAATTTATTTTCTCAATTTGATTTTTATTGTATTGTTCATTTGTTTGTATTGTATTGCAGCTGCAAGAGCGATAGAAGTGTTGAATTTCACGCCTCTGAATAACCAGTCTATTCGAATTATGTACTCTCATCGGGATCCAAGCAATCGGAGGAGTGGCACAGCAAATATCTTCATCAAGGTATATGTTTACTATTTCCTGAATTTATGGTTCTACAATGATATACACACGTATATACATATATGTTTTTTGTTTCTTCCATTGCTTTGTGGTTTGACAATTGTTGTGTTATGTTAGAAATGTCTATTTCAATTCCTTTGTAGAATCCTACTGCTGTTGTAATGTCTATTTCTGTGATTCAGCCATTGTGTTACTGCCAATTCTTATTCAATTCCTTCGGAGAATTCTATTGCTGTTTTAATGTCTATTTCTGTGATTCAATCATTGTGTTACTGCCAATTCTAATTCAATTCCTTCGGAGAATTCTATTGCTGTTTTAATGTCTATTTCTGTGATTCAACCATTGTGTTACTGCCAATTCTAATTCAATTCCTTCGAAGAATTCAATTGTTGTTTTAATGTCTATTCTTATGAAAAGTTACATTCCACAACTAAAAAATGCAGAATCTGGACAAAGGAATCGATAACAAAGCCTTACATGATACCTTCACAAGTTTTGGGACTATTCTTTCGTGCAAGGTAGCAACAGACTCCGATGGCCAATCTAAGGGTCATGGATTTGTGCAATTTGAGACCCAAGATGCGGCGCAAACTGCTATTGATAAGTTAAATGGAATGCTTATCAACGATAAACAAGTGTATGTTGGAAAGTTTCTTCGTAAGCAGGAGAGGGAGACGGTGGCTAACAAGACAAAGTTCAACAATGTTTATGTAAAAAATCTATCTGAGTCTACTACAGATGATGATCTGAAGAGAATTTTTGGTGAATACGGGAATATCACTAGCTGTGTAGTGATGAAGGACGGTGATGGAAAATCCAAATGTTTTGGTTTTGTCAATTTTGAAATTGCTGATGATGCTGCTAAAGCTGTTGAAGCTCTAAATGGAAAGAAATTTGATGAAAAAGAGTGGTACGTTAGGAAAGCCCTGAAGAAGTCGGAGAGAGTGCAAGAACTTAAAAGTCGGTTCGAGCAAACTGCCCGAGAAGCTGGCAACAAAGTTCAAGGAACTAATTTATATGTCAAAAACTTGGATGATAAAATTGATGATGAAAAGCTGAAAGAGCTTTTTGCAAAATTTGGTACCATAACTTCTTGCAAGGTATATTTTGATGCTGTGCTCGTAATTATGTTTCATTTTTTTTTTTTCCCTTTTCTTAATTTTATCCCGTGTTCTATTTTGGTTGCAGGTTATGCTGGATCCAAGTGGAGTAAGCAAAGGTTCTGGATTTGTTGCGTTCTCAACTTCAGCAGAGGCTGCTCGTGCTGTGAGTCGATGTCTTACAACAAATATTAACGCATTTACAGATGACATATTATTCAATTTTTTGTTTGTAATTTAGCTTGCCGAGATGAATGGAAGAATGGTGATCAGTAAGCCACTATATGTGGCAGTGGCAGAGCGGAAAGAAGATCGAAGGGCAAGGTTACAGGTATCAGACGAACCATTTTCTACCCAATATTTTCCATAACTATGTATAAAAGTTTTATCCTTATCATTTGTTATACCTCTAATACGACAACGGTGCAGGCTCAGTTTTCACAAATGAGAGCTGTTCCGACAATGCCTCCACCCATTGGTCCTCGTATGCCGATGTATCCTCCCGTTGCAGCTGGCATGGGGCAGCAACTATACTATGGCCAAGGCCCTCCTGCCATGATTCCTCCTCAGGTTGTTCTAGTTGCTAAAATTTAAGTTTTCTTCAATTTTACTACACTGCAGAAAATAAAATTAATCAGCTAGTAGCCGTCTATAATCCATCGAACATTAGCTATGCTATCCTCTTCGTATCTCTTCGATATTTGTAAAAAATTCTGCTCTTTAAAATCTTTACAGGCTGGATACGGCTATCAGCCACAGCTTTCTCCCGGACTGCGTCCCGGAGGCGCTCCGATCCATAATTTCTTTGTTCCCGTAGTCCCACCGGTGCAACAGGGCCAACGCCCTGCTGGCAGACGCGGACAGCAAAATCAGCAACCTGTTCCTATGATGCCGCCACAAGTTAGCACAGCTTAATTACATACACAAACACACATATATATATGTTCGTATCCATTCATTTATGGCGACGATTTTCTGGTTTCAGATGGTTCCTCGGGGTAGGATGTACAGGTACCCTCCTGGTAGGAACACTCCCGACGTCGCCATTGCGCCAGCTGCCTCAGGGATGAGGTCCGTTCCGTTCGACATGGGCAACATGGTTCCTCAAAATGCCGTCGTCCCCCCACAGCCCGTCCCGATCTCTGCCCTCACGACTGCTCTCGCAAGCGCAAAGCCCGAATATCAGAGGAGGGTAATGCTCTTACTGTACCTGCCTAAGTTTATCGATAAATTACATATAAACTTATAATTATAATAATGGTTATTGATATTATTTGGCGACAGATCTTGGGCGAGTACTTGTACCCGTGCGTCGACCAGCTCGAGCACGAGCACGTCGCCAAAATCACGGGAATGTTACTGGAGATGGACCAGACTGAGGTTCTGCATTTGCTGGAGTCGCCGGAAGCTCTGAAAGCTAAAGTTGCCGAGGCTGTGGATGTGCTGAGGAATGCCCCGTCTCCGTCTCCGGCGCCGGGTAATACCTCTGCCAATTAGCTCGATTCGACGTCTGTGGACGACGACTAATTTCATTCATTTTTCGACTAAGTTTCTTTTTGGCTTAACTAGTATGAACTCAACTCCCTTTTCTTGTTGCACCTACAAATTTTGGACAGATTTCTGCACTCTCTTCTTTTTTATGATTCTAATTTCATTGCTTGCATTTCTTTCCATTGATGTGTATATATTTGCATTTCTTTTTTATGGTTCGGGACGGATTTTAGTTTGTTCAATAAGAAATTTTTGGATAAATATAATATTTTATTTATTTATTTATTTATTTTCAATTAATAATTTTATATTTTTATTTTTTATATTAATAAATTATATATATTATGGCTCTTACGTTAACAAAATAGTGAATTATCCAAAATCATATTTTTTAATTAGTATAAAATATATACATAGTACAGAAAAAACAAATATGAAAAAATATATATAATTGGGATAGATGTATTTTTTTCTGTACTTTTTTTTTAAAAAATAATAATAAATTATATCTATAGTTGATTGTACAGCTAAATATATAATTAAGTTATTATTTTTATTATTATTGATAAGTTCATAATAAAAATATATATACGAAAGATTTATTATTTTATATTGTACATAATTTCAATAAAAAAATATTTTTTTTAGTAAAAATATTTTTTTTCAAATCTAAATAATAAAAATAAATATTTTATAATTTTCAATAATTAATAATAAAAATTCTAATAAATTTCAAATCAAAATGAACAAAATTAATATTTTAAAAAATAACATATTAATGTCTTTAGTAGTCATTTTATGTATAAACCACTAATGTTAAACAGTTGTTTTACCAAACACTTTAATACAAACTCCTAATTATATCTATAGTTTTTATTTGATTTTTTTTTTAATTTAAAATACTGTAATTATTTTATTATTAGGATGGATTGTTCAGCTTCATCTTGAATCTTAATAAAAAAAAAAAAAACAAAAAAAAAACTTTATTATTTTTAAAATTAAAGAATACTAATAAGGTATTTTTGTATGTATTATATATAAATATAGTTAAATTATGCATTTTAATCCATTACATTTTAGAATTACTTTTACATTTATACTTATAAATATCAATATTTTCATTAGTGGATCTATACGTAAACTATCGGTGCCACAAGTGATTTTATTCAGCTAATTTTTATTTTTATTTTTTTATAATTTAATAATTGTGTTACCAACACAAATAGTCATAGCAACCTGACTAAAAAATTAAAGATGCATTGCTCGAATAATTATAATTCAATCCAAATTAAAATGATTAATTTGCATTCTCAAAAATATAAATATACAAAATAATATTACATGATTATTTTATATATTGTCAATAAAAAGTTGTTTTTTGATTAATATTAATATTATTATTTTAATATTTCATATTTATTTATTATGCCACCAATAAAAAAAATTCAGATTTGCTTCTGATTATATCCTCGCAATAACTATAAGGTAATTTAGGTTGTGTTTTTTTTTTTTTTTTTTTTTTTTTAAATATATCATATTAAACAATTACTTTTTATTTCTTATATTATACTATAATTTCTCTTTTTGTTCACATCTAAAACATCATATGAATATTTATTTATATCACATAAAAAATATTATTCAAATTCAATTTTTTATTATTAAAAAATCCAAACCGAAAAACTAAAATCCACAAACAAACGTACCCTTAGTTTTTATCAGATGACCCTTTTTGTAGGACACGTAAGTAATGTAGATTAGTAAATTATAAATAATTATGATATTATTTTATTATTTTTATATGGGTAATATTATTCGTATTTTAAATATTTTTAACATTATATCTCAATCAATATATATAATATGAATATCATTTTTCGATAATAAAATTTTATATATAATACAAATATATAAAAAAAAATGAGAAGTTTATTTATTTTATATTTAATTTAAAACTGATTCTATTAAAAAAATGAAAATTTTTAAATGTGGTTAAAAATGTTTATTTATGGAAGAGAAAAATAAAAATAATAAGGTTCCGAGTGTGTCCATCGTTTTGATAAATTTACTTTTAATATTAGGTATGAAAAATTGTGTTGTTAATATAAAAAATAATATTTTATGTTAAAATTGATTTTTGTAAATAAATAATATATATTATATAATGTGTCAATGTATATAAGTGTTTTAAAAAATAATATTTATAAGAAATTGTGCTATGAAAAATGTAACGTGAACAAAGTGTAAATTTATTAAAAATAGAAAGATATTTTTTATAAGACAGGAAAAATTAATCATCTGTAACATTTATTAAACTTTGTGATATATGAAAAATAAATAAGGAGGAGTATTATATTTATTTAAAATTCCGAAAAGTTGCAAAGATTTCAAGGGTATGTTTATTTTAACAAAAAAAATTCTAATATATTTTTCAAAGAAAAAATTAATATACTATATACACTCATTATTTTTATATTATTTATATCATTTTCATTATTTTACATAAAACAATTTTTTTTCAAACTAAAACACAAAACAACATACAGTTTATTAGGTTCGGCTGGAGGTTTACCCAGTGTATACTTTCGGATAGCGACTGCGGATTCCTACGTATCAAAAAAATAAAAAAATAAAAAAATAAAAAATGAAGTGAACAATAGGAGCATAGTCCAAAAACAAAAAAGGACAAAAAAAAACAGAAATAAGAAGCTTGTGTTGTTTTTGTGTGGGATCCATTCGCTCCGGCCTTGATTTAAAACGTGGACTCCAATGACTTTGTGACCATAAATTAATCCAAATTCTATAAAATCATAATAATAATAATAATAAATTTTAATTATTATATAAAAATATAAATAGATAGTTTAAATATATTAAATACAATCAAATACATAATGTATTTTTTTATATGAAAAATAAATTACTCTCTTCGTTATTCGGATGGCTCTTTAAAGTCTTGTAGTATATTAAAAAATAATATTTCTTCTGTTCCATAAATATAATTTTAATTGAGTCGGACACGAGATTAAAAAATTATTGATATTATATTGATAGTTAGTAAAAAATATGAATAAAATATTTTTTTTGCTCTTATGAGTGTATTAGTGTAAAAATTAGTGCTAATTGTGTAATAAAAATGAAAAAGTAGAAGTAGTTTTATAGTGATATGGTTATTTATGGAAATAAGACTTTTGTTTTGGGACGGACAAAAATGGTAAATAAGACTATTGTATTAGGACGAAGGGAGTAATATTTTATTGATTAAAAAAAATATATAAGAATATTGAAAAGATATATTTGTAATTTAACTAAAAATTAAAAAATAATTTGCAATTAATGAAAGATTATTTTTTCTAAAATATAAAAAGATGCGTTTTAATAAAATAAAAAAAATATATATATTGAAAAATATATATATATTTTTTCTAACAACATTTTTTTTTTTTGTGGTTTTTCTTTTAACACACCCAATGAAAATACCGGAATTGAAACTCATACTCCATTCGTCACGCCATAGATGATTTATTTTTCTATTTTGTTGTCTCATAAAAAGATGATCAATTTATATTTTTAGTAGATTTATTCATTATTAAAAATACATAACAAATATAAATCACTTTAATTAAATATTCAACTTCTTATGCATAAGGTCCACTCAAAATAAACAAATATTTTATCTATATTTAAAATATTTTATTTTTTATAAAATTAATTTTAAATTAATTATAAATAGATAAATTAGTACTTCATCCGTCCCTTAATAATCTATTCATTTTTTCATTTTGGTCTGTCCATAACAAAGTATCTATTTTCTTTTTTATAATTGTACTATCTTCCAAACATTACAAATACCATTTCAATTTACAATATATTACACAAATGTCGTTACCTTTATATCATACAAGACTAATATGATTAATTTAATTTTTTTACTTTTATTTCTACTTTATTCCAATATAATACTAATATTTCTAAAACTCTGTTCAAAAAGCAAATGGATAATAGATATGAGACGGATGGAGTATTTTTTATTCATTTTTATTATATAAAATTTTATTATTTACAAAATGATATGCATATTGCATATCTTTTTATATAATTCTAAAAAGTATTTAAAAATACCAACAATACTATTTATATAAATAATAATAATAAAATAATATTATAATTTATTATTAATAACTTACTAATTTATATTAATTAAAATGCAGTGTATTTAACAAAAATGTTCATATTTGCTGGGACGGAGGGAGTACTTCAAAATGAGTGTTATATCGTCCCATAAATGTGATCTAATGATCTAAGATAAACTTATTATCGTGTGATTAAGACTATCTCCAACCAATCAACTTCATTTATACAATTTTAACTCTAAATATGCAGTTGTTATCGTAATTTTACTTTAATCATAACTCTATTTTTCACTATTATTCTTGAAATATAAATTTTTTTTATTATTTTAAATAATTTTTTATTTTTATAATTTAAAATGATTTTCTTAAAATTTTTTAAAAAATAAAAAATAAATTTATAGATTATTGAATTCGATCCAAATTTAGCCTTCGAAAATACATTTGACTCTGTCACTAATAATACTACAGTGTCTGCAGTGTCACCACTCTAATTTGACCTCATCGTACCAACGTTATAGCTTTGTCGCCATTATCATTACCAATGCTCGTTTATTTATTTTGTAAAGTAATTTTATTTTCTATAAAATTATATTCCATTCGTACCAGATACCGTATCTGCTACACTATAAATACGGTATTTTAAGAAGGATGTAATTAGTAGATAATTAAGAATGTATTAGTAAAAATAATTATTCTATAATATAAATAATTATAAATTAAGATTAAGATAACTAATTAGTTTAATTAAAATTAAAAAAAATAAAATTAAAAAATTTAAAATGAGATTAAAGTGTTTAATCATTTTCCAAAAAAAAAAAGTGACATGATATATGGAAGAGACAGAAACGGCAACGGACATGGTATCTGAGACGGAGGAAGTATTTATATTGTATATTTATTCCATTTAACAATAAATTTTTTATTTTACTATTTTAATTTGTCAAAGTCAAAGTTTTTATTTTTCTGTTTAAGTAATTTGTCAAAGTAATTCTTTATCCAATACCAAAATATCCTTAATTTTTATTTTTTATTTACTATTTTAGTTGGTCAAAATCAAAATGTTCATTTTCTCTTTTAGAAAAAAAGGTAATTCTATTAATATTCTTACTTCTTATTTTTCATTTTACATTTTAGTTTGTAAGGTCAAAATTTTCATTTTTCTTATTTTAGAAGAAAAGATAATTTTCCATTAAATATCAAGATATTCTTACTTTATATTTTTCATATTACTTTTACAGATATAATAGATACTACACTACTTTATTATACAATATATCTATAATATACTAATTTATTTTAATCCGCCTGCAAAAGTCAAATAATAAACTTACTTACTATCTCCGTCTCATAAGAAGAGCACAATTTGTTTTTTGCGCTATTATACTAAACGTTAAAAATATTTATATTTTTATAATTTACTCTACAAATATTATTGTATTTGTATGATAAAAGACTAATATAGACATTTTTTTATTTTTTTTTTGTATTTGTATTACATATTAATATAATAATTAATATTCAAATATCTATATTCAAAAGATTGTAATATTGTTTTTATGAGACAGAAATAGTACTTCCTCCTTCCCTTTTCTTGAAAGACGCTCTTTAGTGTGTTGTAATAAATTTAAAAAATAATAGTATTTTATTATTCAGTAAAAATGAACCGATGGTAAGTGTAAAAATTTATGTAATAAAATCTGTTTTTCACAAATATTTCGTAACAAACACGGCGTAAATAGTAGGTTCGGCTAAAGGCTAAAACCTAAAAGGTAAACATTTCTCCTCTATTTATACACACACATACAATCATCATCAATCCATCAATCCAATCCAATCAATCTCAGCCGTCCATTTCCTTCCAATGGAACCCTTCATCCTCGTCCTCCTCACCATAATCTTCTCCGCCTGTCTCCTCCTCCTATTCTCCGGCCGCCGGCCGGCCAATCTCCCGCCGGGACCTCCGCCACTCCCCCTCATCGGAAACATCCTTCAGGTCGGCCCAAACCCCCACCAATCCTTCGCCCAATTCGCCAAAACCTACGGCCCGATAATCTACCTCAAGTTCGGCACCATCGACACCGTCGTCGTCTCCTCGCCGGCGACGGCGAAACAGGTCCTCCAAAAGCACGACCATGTCCTCTCCTCCCGGCCCCACCCCGCCATGTCCGATTCCTACGCCCACAATCAGATCTCCCTCATCTGGCAGCCCACCAATTCCCGGTGGCGGACTCTCCGGCGGATCTGCAAAGACCATATGTTCACCCTCCACCGCCTCGATTCCGGCCGGGACCTCCGCCGGGAGAAGCTCCACAAGCTCCGGGACTTTCTGGACCACCAATGCCTCGCCGGCGGAGGCGCCGCCGTGAACGTCGCCGACGCGACGTTCACGACGGTGCTGAACATGCTGTCGTCGACGCTTTTTTCGATCGATTTTGCGGATTATCGGTCGGAAGTTTCGGAGGATTTCAAGGGGCTCGTTCATGGTCTTATGGAGGTCGTCGGCCAGCCGAATGTCGCCGACTATTTTCCGGTGCTGAAGGCGGTGGATCCTCAGGGGCTGAAGAGGAAAACGACGACGTATGTGAGGAAGCTGTTCGGAGTCTTCGAGGATATAATTGAGAAACGCGTGAAGTCACGTTCAGACGACCATGGCGGCGCCGGCGCCGGCGCCGGCGATCTGTTAGAATCGCTGCTTGAAGTCAGCCGGAAAAGTGACTCCGACAAAGAATTCACCCGCGAGGATATTCTGCATTTGCTTATGGTAACTTCTTTTTTACTGTTACTACACATTTAAATCATCTCCAACTACCAGAAAAAAATGCAGGGAGGTGCTCCAATCCACCCGCAAATCCCCCAATTTTTGCAGAATACACAGTGTTACTTCAATTTTGAAGTAATAATGTTATTCCATTCTATTTTTGAAGTGGAATTTTTGTGGTATTTTTTATATTTTTTGTATTTTTTGGTGTATTCTGTAATTTTAATTTTTTAGTAGATATATAATTTTATATTTTAAAAAGTTGTATGTAATTTTATTATTTTTAAAAAAATAGTGTATAATTTTATTTTTTAAAAGTGATATAATTTTAGTTTTTGGAAAGTAATACTATATAATTTTATTTTTAAATGTTAATTTTTATATATGTAATTTTAAATAGTTTATAAATTATATGTGTATGGATCTAATGTAAAAATAAATTAAAGTCGAGGTGTAATTTATAAATATGAAAAATTATATAAAATAATATACAGGGAATATACTTTTTAGAGTAAAAATTGAAATTTATGGTTGGAGTAAAGTTACTGTAGATCAACTCCATTTTTACTGTCGCAGCTGCAAAAATAGAGTGGAGGGTTAGAGATGGTCTTATAGACATATACTGTATGTTTCTTTACCTTATTTTTTTTTAATTTTACTATTTAAACTTTGTTTTTCTCGAAAAAAATACATTTTTTTCATCTAATAAAATATTTTATCAAATATTATTTTAATATGAAACTCAAACTAAATTTTTATAATCTAAACCAAAATAAACACATGTACATAATTATGGTAGGCCCGAACATGATATACTATCATGTGTATATCATGTATCTATACATGTGTGATGATTATGGGGTAGGCCCGAACATGTCATTAATACGGGTTCAATCCAAAAACTATTATGTCAAATATATATTTTTTTTCTCACAAAACATCAAATTAAATATTAATTTTATATTTTTTCCAAACTTTTAAATTTTAAAAAATCTCCAAAAATCCTTTATCTAACAAACCCATGTTTTTGGAGCGAATTGCTAAATTTAGTTTTAAAAAACTTAATTAGGGTCAGGATGAAATACGTATTTTTACTGAAAACTTACCTCAATTGAACTTGGACCTGAAATCGAATATTTTAATAATTATTAAAATTATATTTATATTTGAATTTTAAACATAACATAAAGATTTAGAAATTTAATTCTTAAATCAAATTTATATTTTCATTTATTTATTTTTCAATTCTCTTTGCTATTGAGACAAATGTTGTCGACCATTGTTATTTTGACTACTGTCAATATTTAATTATTTTTGCTTTTAGAATTATAATTTTTTTTTTATGCTTTAATGTTTATTTTTTTTAGTATTAAATTATTAAAATAAGTTATATTTTATTTTTGAAATAACGCTGTACCTCAACTCAATTTTTGGAGTGGGGTGGGAGTCGGGTGTTTTGTGTATTTTGCCGTGTTTCTTTTTGTGTTTTTTGAGGTGTAATGTACTTCCTCTTTCTCATAAATATAGTTTTAATTGAGTTTGACACGAGATTTAAGAAATATTAATATTATATTAATAATTGGTAAAATATATGGATAAAAGACATTTTTGCCATTGTGAGTGTATTAGTGTAAAAAGTAGTAGCAATTGTATAATAAAAATAAAAAAATATGGGTAGTTTTATGGTGATATGGTTATTTATGGAAATAAGACTATTGTTTTGAGACGGACAAAAATGATAAACAAGACTATTGTATTGGGCGGAGGGAGTATAATTTTTTTTTTTAGAAAATAATATATAATTTTATTTTTTAAAAGTGATATATATAATTTTAAGTTTTGGAAAGTGATATAATTTTAAATTTTGGAAATTGATATTATTTTAATTTTTGAAAAGTGATAATTTTAATTTTTGGAAAGTAATATAATTTATAATTTTTGGAAAGTGATATATAATTTTGTTATTTTAAAAACAATGCATAATTTTATTTTTTTAAAAGTGATATATAATTTTATTTCTGAAAAGTGATATAATTTTAATTTTATAAAAATAATGTGTAATTTTATTTTTTAAAAGTAATATATAGTTTTATTTTTCTCAAATATAAATTATATATGTATGGATTATAATGTAAAATAAATTAAAGTTGGAGTGTAATTTATAAATATGAAAAATTAGAAGTATAAAATAAGATAAAAGAAGAATATATACCTTTTAGACTGAAAATTGAAGTTTGATGGGAGTAAAATTATTGTAGCATTTTCACATTTTTACTGTAGCTATCCAAAAATAGAGCGCAGGTTAGAGGTATCCTTACAATACAAATGCAATCGATCTACCTGATTTGTTCTTCATGCAAGGATTTATTTGTAGCCGGAATCGACACAACATCGACGATAATCGAATGGACAATGGCAGAGCTAATACGAAACCCAGATGTAATGACGACAGCCCGACATGAACTCGACACCGTTATCGGGCCAAACAAAGAAGTCGAAGAATCGGACATATCCAAACTACCGTACCTACAAGCCATTATCAAAGAATCTTTCCGGCTCCACCCGCCGGGTCCTCTTCTCGTCCCTCACCAGGCCGCGGCCGACGTCGACGTCGACGGGTACGTAATACCCACAAAAGCCCAAGTTCTAGTGAACATATGGGCTATGGGCAGAGATCCCGGCATATGGGTCGATCCCGATCATTTTAATCCCGAGAGGTTTTTGGGCAGCAAGATCGACGTCAAGGGTCAGGATTTCGAGCTGTTACCGTTCGGTTCGGGCAGGAGGATTTGCCCGGGATTGCCTCTGGCGCATCGAGTCGCGCACATGATGGTCACTCTGATGATTCGGGGCTACGATTGGAAGCTTCCGGAAGGAATCGAACCTCAAGAACTCAACATGGATGAAAAGTTCGAGTTTTCACTGCAACGGGCTACGCCCCTTGAGGCGATTCCCGTCAAAATTTGATGTACCGAGACGAATTGCGGATTTTAAATTTAAAACTCAGTCGGGTTCAGGCGGGTAGCGGGTTTAAACATGGTGCTCTCATGCCATTTTCAACTTATTATTTTATTTTTACTGCAGTTATTTTATTTTTATGTTATTTTATATAATTTTTCATAATTTAAAATTATATTTCAGTTTTAACTTCTTTTAATATTATCATATAAAAATATTCTCCTTAGTTATTCCATTTCACATAAAATGTCGATATTTTTTATTTTCGTTAATTCTTGCAATTTGTCTTTTTAAAAAAAATATAATTATACATTTTAATTATATTTTTAATTTTATATTTTATAAGTTTTTTTTAATTTTAATTAAATTATGTAGTTATTTTAATTTTAATTTATAATTATTTTTATTTTATAATAATTATTTTTACTAATATATTTCTTAATTATTTACTAATTATACTTATATAAATTCGTGTATCTACGTATTAACTGGGACGGATGGGGTATAATTTATAAAATAATTATTTTCAAAATAAAAAATAAATTACACATCATTTTTTACAAAGTAAGATTATATGTTACTTTTAAAAAATAAAATTACGTAACATTTTTCAAAAAATAAAATAATATATCATTTTTTAAAAAATAAAATTATACCAAACACTCCAAAAAATAACAATTGGGCTGGAGCTCCGATGCCCCCATTTTTTTTCAATTCACTGTAGTTGGTTGGAGATCTTTCAATACATATCTTTATTTTAATATTTAGATAAAGTAGATAAAAAACAAAGTAAAGTATTATAAAAAAATTGATGACATAAATAGCAAATAAATAAGTAATGATAAATTAATTATTATATGTTAGAACAAGATTAATAAAATTATAGGTAAAATTATTTATTATAAATAAATTGTATATAAATTTAAAATATCATTAAATAATACTCCCTCGGAACTAAATATTCATTTGCTTTTTGCACGTAGTTTTAGAAATATCAATATTATATTATGATATAATAGGAATAAAGTAGAAATGACTAAAATAATCTTATTAGTATGTAATATATAAATGTAATGACATTTGTCTAATATAATGTAAGTTGTAAAGGTATTTGTAATGTTAGGTAGATAGTACAGTTACTAAAAAAAAGAAAATTGACTTTGTTATGGGACGAACTAAAATGAAAAAATTGATACTTTGTTATGGGACGGAGGGAGTATATATACTTACTTCTCTCTATCTCATTTGAAATAGCCTATTTCATTTGGGACATGTTATTTAAGGTAAAGTGGTTTAAATAGTTACTATTTATGATATTATTTTATTATATTTTTATATAAATAATATAGTTAATAATTTTAAAATAAAAATTAATATATATAATTAAAATAAAATTTAAATGTGTGTTTAAATATTTTAAATATTATATTTTAAAAAAATATATGCAATATTTATTTATTTATAATTAAGATAAATTAATTTTATAAAAAAAATTTTAGTTTTAAATGTAGATAATCATATTTCTTTAACATAATGCTATATATTATAAAGTTAAAAGATTTATATTTGTTAAATATCTATAAATTTAGTAAAATTTATTAAAAATAAAAAATTGAAGTGGAGGGAATACTTTTTAATTTCACGGCCCGCGGCAGCCCGACACGAACTCGACACATTCTCAAACCAAACCAAGAGGTCGAAAAATAGAGAGATCCCAACTGACGTAGACCTCGACGGGTACCTAATACCCGCAAAAGCCCTAGTTCTAGCCAACTTATGGGCCGGGTCGTGCACATGATAGTTGCCCTGATGATTCCGGACTACAATTGGAAGCTTCCGGAAGGAAACAAAGCTCAAGAACTCAACATGGATGAGAAGCTCGAGTTTTTGCAGCAACAGGCTGCGCCGCTTGGTCCGATTCCTACAAACTTTGATGCACTAATTTCGTAATAACAGAAATAATATGACCTAAGATGCTACGCGAAAAAACCAAATATCAAGTCAATCCCGAGAACTTCGATAAACCAAACCAACCAAGAGTGAATGATTCAAGACCAAACTTCAAAAATTCAAAATCCTAAGTAGATAGATAGATAGAATCTCTCTATATAGCTAGCAAAAAAGGGCCAAGTTCATACGGTCAATGCAGCTTCAAGAGATGAGTGCGTCGTTGATGGAGAGCGACGCAAGTTGCTCAGTCGGGCTGCTAACTTGCTGGACATTTCTCAGGACTTCCATAGCCTCGGCAACCTTAGCTTTCAGTGCGTCAGGCGATTCGAGCAGATGCAGGACCTCCGTCTGGTCCATTTCCAGAAGCATGCCGGTAACTTTGGCAGCGTGCTCATGCTCGAGCTGGTCGACAAGAGGGTACAGATTCTCCCCCAACATCTGCCAGGCAAATAATACACGATAATTCGTAAAGAAAAAATGGATTATTACACGTTATCCGGCAGCCAGCTTACCGTCCTCTGCTGTTCGGCTGGGGCATTAGCAAGAGCAGTAGCGAGTGCAGTGATTGGCATCGGCTGCGGAACAGCGGCATCACGGGGCATCATGCCGCCCATGTCGTATGGAATCCCACCGGCCATGGGAGAATCCGGGACATTCCTGCCGGGAGGGTACCGATACATACGACCCCGCTGCTGCAGCATCTGGAAGAATATAAGCCGTGAGCAAATATTGAACAATAATGGTAGAAAATCGAAAGACAGGAGAGTTAAAAAAAATTAATGACCTGCTGCTGCATTCTCGGTGCAGGCTGCTGAGTGTGTTGCCCTTGCCCGGCTCGTCTGCCACTGGGGCGCTGGCCCTGTTGACCCTGCTGGACTAGGGGGACAAAGAAATTGGGGACGGGACCGGCTCCCGGGCGCATCCCGGGGACAAGCTGCTGCTGATAACCAAATGGAGCCTTGAAAATTTTCACGATCACAATTAGGAGAAGATATAATTGCAACTCAAGAATGCATGTAAAGAATTATACAACACGAATAAACAATGAAATTAGTTGTAAGAAACGGGAGAGAAAACAGGCGTGTACCTGAGGAATCATAGCAGGAGGTGCTTGGCCGTAAAATAGCTGCTGCCCGAGACCCGGTGCTCCAGGAGGAAAAATTGGCATACGCGGAGCAATTGTCGGGGGCATTGCAACGGGCCTGATTTGAGAAAATTGCGCCTACAATTGCCGATAAAATTTGAAGCAGTGAAGGCAAGAAAACATAGACATTCTTAAAATGATCAGACAACACTATATTTATAAGGGATGACATAGTTTGAACAAATGAGAAGTAAGGAGAAGAAAGAAATGTAATATGGTGTCATTTCTTGCCACACCGAAAAAGAAATAGACGAGTTTTTTGGAAATTACACCTATAATTATGCTTCTATGTTCTAAAATAAGAAATAATAAAGTTAAGACTACAACTATCATTCTCAGGAAGCACACACACCTGCAACTTCGCCCTTCGCTCTTCTTTACGCTGAGCAAGTGCAACGTAGAGTGGTTTGTTGGCCATCATTCTTCCATTCATTTCCGAAAGCTTTAAAAGTATACAAAATAAAGACAAACGAATAAGCCCAGGCATTCTATGTAATGACATCATGATAAATTGTCATAACAGCATTAACTCACAGCTCGAGAAGCTTCGTCTGGATTCGAGAAAGCAACAAATCCAGCACCTTTGCTTGCACCACTGGGTTCCCGCATAACCTGCATATTAAAAAAAGCAACAAAGCAGTTTAATAACACAAATATGGTGGGGTTAATAATTGCTTGAGTGGAAAGTAAAGAGTGTCTAACCTTGCAAGAAGTGACAGTACCGAAATCCGAAAAAAGTTCTTTCAGCCCCTCATCATCAATGCTATCATCCAAGTTCTTGACATATAGATTAGAACCTTGAAATTTATCAGCAGCTTCCTTAGCAGTCTGCTCAAATCGGCTTTTCAGTTCTTGCTCACGCTCAGATTTCTTTTGGGCTTTTCCAACGTACCACTCCTTGTCATCAAATTTCTTTCCATTCAGAGCTTCAACAGCTTTTGCAGCAGCATCAGCATTCTCAAAATTGACAAATCCAAAACATTTTGATTTACCATCTGCATCCCTCATCACTACACAGCTTGTGATTGTCCCATATTCGCCAAAGACATTCTTCAAATCATCATCTGTGGTGGACTCAGAGAGATTTTTTACATACACATTGTTGAACTCTGTCTGGTGTGTTGCAGAGTCCCTATCCTGCTTGCGAAGGAAATGTCCAACGTACACTTGCTTGTCATTAATAAGCATCCCATTCAACTTATCTATAGCATTTTGTGCTGATTCTTCATTTTCAAATTGCACAAATCCATAGCCCCTTGATTGGCCATTAGAATCAGTTGCAACCTTGCAAGAAAGGATGTTTCCAAAGCTTGAAAAGGTGTCATGCAGTGCTTTGTTATCGATTGTTCTGTCCAGATTCTGCATAAACGATTAGGAGCAAGAAAGGACCTCTATGAGCATTCACATATAGCAATCACAAGAAAAATTTCAAGGAAAAAAAAAAAATCAAAACAAGTGAAACAAGATAGTGATAAAATAAATTATATGGTTATATAATTTAATTGAAATCTTCACCAGACATGTCACAGCTTATTATCAGAAAATCCATAGTAAGATAAGTCACTGTAAACATATGTGTGATATAACAGCTTAAGTATAAAATAGAATGTATTCTATATAAGTGAGTTTAAAAAATGTTTAACAGTGAAATTTCAAAGAGGTTTAAAAACATTCAAAAAAGGTAATCACGTATCACCAAAATAGATGAATTAACAAGTAAACTCTAAATTTACCTTGATAAAGATGTTAGCAGTTCCACTTTTCCTAATACTTGGGTCCCTATGAGAATACATGATTCGGATGGACTTGTTATTAAGAGGGGTGAAGTTCAACATCTCAATAGCTCTTGCCGCTGTAATCACAATTACAGGAAGAAATTTCAGAGATGGAAATTTCTAATATATGTATATATCTAAACAACCAATGAACATTAAATAGGATAAAGGGAAGAGTCACAACAAAAGGAATCAGATCAGAGCAAAAAAACAAAAAAATAAAAAGACAGCCCAGCATCTATCTAGTCACCAGCAGAATCAAAGAACATTACCACTTGATGTAATGCTATCCACAATAAGCATCACACAGACTCGTCAAGAGGGATAAAACATGCTCCATAAAGGGTATGGGCATTGGCTTTCAAAAGTTTTCCCTTTATCAAAAGTTCATATTGAGGTAAGACATCACTGTGCATTTTTCTAACATTTTGATGAACCTTTTCAAAACCAACTTTGTCAACAAACAATTTTATTACCTCCAAATTTGCAATATATATACACATATATAGCTACTCACATTCAACAAAATTACACAGTTTGAATTCCATAATCCACGTTCTGTGCATCAAACATTTTTAATCTAAAAAATCCGATAAAAAAAAAAAAACATTTTTAGGGTTTTGTTTCTTTTCTAAAAATTTTCCTACCACATTTCCCCAAAACAATTAATATACTATACACACTCTTAATCTAAAATCTTACAGTTTAATTAAATCCAAACTGAAGTAAATTGGAACTATCTAAGCAAGATCCAAAGCCACAGAAATGTTTCAGGAAAAACAATGAAAATTCAATCACATTCTACTATAGCCAACGAAGAAACAAATTTAGCCATAAAGAAACTCATTTCATATTGAAAGCGAAAAAGATCTGAACATTTCTAACCATCCTGGGGGTTGTTATAGTTGACATAGCCATAGCCAAGGCTGCGGCGAGTGCTGAGGTCGCGGCAAACCCTAACCGACAGAACTTGACCGACTTGATTGAACAGATCGTACAGTTGAGAGTCCGTAACGTTGAAATCCAAATCGCCAACGTACAGAGACGTCGATTGAAACTGTCCCGAGGCGTTTCCTCCCGCCGCCGTAACTGCCGCTCCGCCAGGCGTAGCCACTCCGTTCTGCCCCGTCGCCGCCGCGTGCTGCACCTGAATCTGCGCCATCTTTCACAATCCCAACTATTACGCACTCAGATTATGTTCTATACTGAATTGACGCACAAACAATAAGAACAGAGCCGCAAACAATTTTTTGTTTTCGATTTTTTCGATACAAAGATCAAATCAAGGTACAGAAAGAAATGGAGAGAATTTTTTGGGTTTTTTTCTGATGGGAGAGCAGACAACTGCACCGCACTCAGAGATGACGATTAACCGCAAAGGCCTTATATAGCGCCGTTGGTGTTAGAAACCCTAGAGGGAGATAGGAGATGAAATCGCAGCCGTCCAAATGGAGACACGTGTAACTTATCACGCCGTCCATTATTATAAAGGGGGTGAAATAAAATGTTCTCAATATCTTCGTAAAGGTTGTAGGATTCTAATAACAAAGATAGGCCCATTGAAAATAAATAGGGTTTTGGTTTTCAATTATTATTATTATTATTTTTATATAAATATATTGAATTATATGAATCCAATCATTTTTAAAAATTTACTATCAAATTTATTTATATATTCAATTTTATTATATTTTTTTATAAAACTAATTAATGTTGAATCAAATTCTATTTTTCATAATATACTTTGTATATTTTATTAAAATATATTTTTAAAAATATTTGTTTTAGAATTTTTAATCGTAAATATTATATCATATATAGAATATCAATTAAATAAATAATCTCCAAATATATACTAATAGTTTGTTTATTCAACCTATTTTTAAATAGCACGATTCTTCCTAAACCCTTTTTAAAAAATACAATACATACAGATATTTTAACACATAAACTTAACAAATTAAATTAAAATAATTAGTATTCCACAAGACAAATAATATAGATAATATATGTTGTATATTCTTTATATAGATATTCTTTAATTTGATCAAATTACTATTATATTAAAATTGAAATATATTTTGAGACATATAAATATATATTTCCTTCGTCCCGGTGAAAGAGTGACGTTTGCTTTTTGCACGTAAATTTTTGAATACTAGTATTATATTGGATTATATTAAAAAAGACAAAAATACCCATATTAGTATAGTATAATATAAAAGTAATGGCATTTGTGTAATATATTGTAAGTTGGAAGGGTATTTATTATGTTAGATAAGTAGTACAATTACTAAATTAGGAAATGGTAACCTTGTTTTGAGACGGACGAAAATAAAAAATGACAACCTTTCAATGAGACGGATGGAGCAATATACTATTAAAATATGTATTATATATTGTATTAATATTATATTATTGTTGATGTTAGATATTTAATTTAAAATGTAAAAAATGAATAGAATGATTTGTCCCCATTAGTGATACAAACAAAACCATCCTCCCTTATATTGTACTTGGACCCATAAAGATAAAATGGAAAATTGGATTAGATATGAGTTTGGGCCTTAATTGAGCTTGGCTTAAGCTTATCTACGTGTATATATAGGGGTGTCAATTCGTGTTTGTGTCGGGTTGTCGATAGGAATCCGACACGGAACAAACCCGAAAATTAAAAAAAAAATTAAATTGATCTAAAAAATATTATTTTTATTTTAATTTTTATATTATTTTATATTTAAAATAATATAAATATTATTAATTATAATAATAATAATAATAATAATTTCAGGTCAACCCGAAACACGAAATCCAAAACCTAACATGATTTTGATATTTCAGGTTATCAGGTCAACCCGAAACACGACTCGAACACGACACGAATTTTTTTCGTTTCAGGTTCGGGTCGACCCGATTTTTTTCAAACCGGAACCTGAAAAATTTCAGGTCGAACGGGTTCGATTTTTCAGGTCGGATTTACTTTTAACACCCCTGTGTATATATAATCAAGACTTGGGCTTTTAGACTTGGGCTTTGGGTGTTGGGGTATTTGAAGGCCTTAATAAATATATACTGTTCATCTATAAAAAAAAACAAAGGGGGGGGGGGGGGGGGGGGGGGGGATAATTAGGACATTTGGGATTGATACGGAAATTAATGAATAATAGTATTATTATTGATAGTTGATGTAAATGTGTTTATAAAAGACTAAAATGTATCTATTTTATGTAATTATTGTGAAAAAGTGATGATAGTTTTCTAAAAATGTGACGAGATAGTTATCAAAAATAGAAACGAGACTATTGTTTGGAAACAAATGGAGTATTATATATGAGAAGAAACCATTTTTAAATATAAAAATAATATTATGTTGAATTATTATTTTTTTAAATTTTTATTTTGATTTAAAATTAAGTTTGTTATTTAAATTTTTATTTGCATAGTATTTTGATATAATAATAATAAAAAAAATTACTCATACCAAATTTACTCTTACTTTCTTCTTCTTTTTTTTTTTTTTTTTAAATTTATAGGTTAAGTTTATCTCGTTACTAATTTTGACAAAGTTAAATAGTATATTAATAAATAAAAGTATTTTTATTAGTTAGTGAAAATGTGTAAGAGGATTTGATATTTTTATCATTTGATTTTATGTAAAAAGTAATTGAATATATAATAGTATGCTTGTAATTTTGATAAAAGTTAAAGATATTTTGGTATTTGTGTATAATTAGTTTTATTAAAATAAAAAAAAGATACTTTTGAACGAGACATACGAAAATAGTAAAAGAAATATTTTGAGATGAAACTGAGGAAATATTTAATATTTAATTATTACCCATCATTCCATATTTATTTATTTATCATCATTGTCACCACGTTATTACATTAGCTCTCTTCATTTTATTTAACTACTAATTAAATTTTTTGAAAATATACTCGAAATTATTTTCTTTTACTTTGTTTAATTTTTTAATAAAATATTATTTTTCTTAATCTTTACGTAAACTCAAATTGGATAATTTTTACGATAAGAGTATTTCTGTTTTTATCGAAACCGTACAAACAAAAAAGCATTGATTTGTATTTAAAATAATATATATATATATTTTGCATGAGTATATGCATATATTATACTATTTTTGTCTTGCCATCGTATGAGGATTTTTCATTTTTAGTTCATTCAACGTAAGATGACTATAAAAATTTAATATTTTTAAATATATTTAATAAATATAAATTAATTTAATTCAATTCCAAACCTTCTATACATTGGACTATTCAAAATTTATTTATTTTTATCTCTTTCATCAGTAAATATATATTTATATTTATTTATATTATATAAAATTTTATTATTTACTAAATTATATCAATATATACTTTTTATTAAAACAAAATATTTAAAATATTTAAATACCTATTTTAAATTTCTTTTAATTATATATGTAGTTTTTATTTCATAAACAATATCATCACTTGTATATAAATAATAAAATAATACAGGGTGTGTTTACATGTACAATTTTTATATGATTTTACTATTTCAACTTTCTTTTCCTTAAAAAAAAAATATCAAATCAAACACTCATTTTTTATTTATCATATTACACTAAAATTTAATTTTACATTCAAAACATAACATCAATACATATTTATATCACATCAAACAACTATTTCAATTCAAAATTTTACTATTAAAAAAAAAAATTAAAATCTTACAAGTAAACACATCCAATATTATAACTATAATAATTAACTTATTAAATTACATCGTCTAAAATACTATGTACTTTTCTATATAATAGCAATCAAGATATTGGTATTTACTTTAAGGTACTCTCGGGATGAGTAACTTTTTGAAAAGTTTCATGGTCACAAGGTATTGTCATAATCTATTTTGTTAGGATTTGTTTATCCAATCAATATTTTTTTCTAACAAAATTTTTAACATGTACTATATATTTTATCATCTCACAAAAAAAATAATATAGTATTTAATACCAATACTGATTGTTTTGTCTCGCGCGAAAAATCACTTAAAACTTAAATTTTAAAGAAACACACTTTAATATTCTCTTATTCCCAACTCAAAATACTATTTTTACTATTTTTGTCTATTCAATTTCAATGTATCTATTTTTATTTTAGTAAAAGTAATCATAACTAATATACCAAAATTTCCTTAACTTTTACATAAATTACAAATATATCATTACACATACAATTACTTTGTACATAAAATCAAATGACAAAATATGTCAAATCCTCTTACACTATTCCGCTAACTAATAAAATACTATTATTTTAAATTTACTACAAAATGCAAAAAGTCCCATTTGAAGTGGGACGAAGAGAGTATTAAACATGAAAGATGAATATTTGTAGCAACATCTTCGAAGTATACATTTTAAAAAACCTTTTATTTAAGTTATATGTAGCTTATGAGTTCTTTAAATTATAAGTAGAGTTTTATGACATACTATTTGTTATCGGTAGTTTTGACAAATTTGAGATATGATGAAAACAACAACAAAGCAAAAAAAATTACAAATCTAATCACCATTGATCGCCTCCCAAGATAGAACAAATTGAACGAAAATACAGATTTCGCGAACTGAATTAAGGAGAAAATAATTTTTTTTGGACGATATTTTTCTTGCAGAGAAAAAAATTTGGTTTCTTGAAGAAGTTGGGAGAACAAAATTGAAGAGGGTTTTTCTTGTGTTTTTTACTTTTACAAATTCGATCTTTTAAAAAGGTATAAACTATAGGGTTATTTTTAGTGTAATGTTTGAACGTGAGGAAAACTAATCCCACAATATCCAATTCCATTATAAAATGTTTCAACAAAATTTTAATTTATCGAATTAATTTAAATTTGTTTTGAATCAGTCAAAACAACTTTCATATAAAATACAAAATTTAAATTATTTCATTAATGTGATTGGACCTAGCCCACGAGCTCCCACGGCCCAAAACCGAATCTTGACTACTCATATGTATATATATATATATATATGAACCCAATCCATTCCAAGGTAGGCCGAAGCATAGTTTGGTCTGACCCATTTCAGTTATTTCTTTAATAGACAATGGAACCATAAGTATACACCTTCCGTCCCATATAATATGGACTTATTACTGTAGATATGAAAATTTAGATAAAATATAATTAATAAGTAATTAAAAAGTTTATTAGTAAAAATAATTATTATATAGTAAAAATAATTATAGATTAAGATTAAGATAACTAAATAGTTTAATTAAAATTAAAAAAATTATAAATTTAAAATGTGATTAAAGTTATAATCATATTTCAAAATATATATATAAATTATGTACAACAAACGAAAATAAAAAAATATGAACAAATTATGTAGAATAGATAGAGTATTAAGTAGGAGATGTTTCCTCTCTCCTCCTATGTGAAACAAGAATTTATGAAATTCTTCATTTCTTCCTTCACTATTCACACCAACACTATTTTATTAATCATTATATTATTTTTTTAAATTCTAATTATACTATAATTTATCTTAATTTATAATAATAATAATTATTATATTCTAATCATTACAAATATATTTTAAAATTATTTAATTATCACACTCCTTTTAAATTTTCGTATTATAATAATTGTGACACTAGACTTGGTACGTAGGAAATATAAATTTAATTGAACACAAAGAGAAAGAATTAATAGTATTTTAATATTAAAATGCTATAGGTTTGTGTGGAGGTTTGGATTTGGAATTGAGATTTGAATAGTAAAAATTTTGAACTTGAATAGTTGTATGATGTGATATAAATAGGTGTTGATGCGATGTTTTGAATGTAAAATTGATTTTTTTATATAATATAGAAAATAAAAAATAGGTGTTTGATTTGATGTTTGGGGGGAATGAGATGAATAGTGTAAATCCAATCCAAAGTCCCAAACAAACACACATAAAAAGTTACTCCCCCCGTCTGTTGCCGTTTCTGTCTGTCCCGCGTTCCATGTCACTTTTATTTTTTGAAAAATGATTGCACATTTTAATCTCATTTTAAACTTTTTAATTTATTTTTTTTTAAAATTTTAATTAAACTAATTAGTTATCAATCTTAATTTATAATTATTTATATTATAGAATAATTATTTTCACTAATATATTCTTAATTATGTACTAATTACACCCCTCATAAAATACCGTATCGCAGACACGGTATGTGGGACGGAGGGAGTATTAAAGAATTAGTAAAAAAAGTGATGAGATAAATAAAAAAATAATGTAAAATTAATTACTATTATTTGTTGAAGTTCATATAATAAAACTATGAGTGAATAATTTTTTATATAAAATGAGTTAGTGATATAATTTTAATCGGATGAATAATTTTTTGTTACTATTTGTTTTCAATAAGGTTAAAAGCTTTATATCAGCAATTGCCGAATTATATTTGGACTTATGGATTAAACTAATTGGGCCGTTATGGGCTGTGAATCTGCATTTATCTGGGCCTATTAGGCCCAAATAAGATTTACTTCAATTTAATTTATTATTTAATAATTTTATTTTTATTTTTTTAAATATTATATATATATATATATATATTTAAAGGTTAGGTTTAACCAACATTGAATGTACACCAAAACAATAATTACATTGGATTCAATAATAAATTTTGTAACTAAAATTAGAAAATAAACCGAAATATTAATGCAGTAACGTATTCGCGTTGACCGACTACAAATAAATACCAATCCTAAATATTCTAAATAAGCAATTTCAGGCAGCAATTAAGAGTACGTTCAACCAACTAAAAAGAGCCAACACACTTATCTTATCCATCGATATCATCAAAAAAATAAAAAATAAAAAATAAAAAAAAAAAATCGGAAAATATATTCACACTCACACAACATACGAGTAAAAATTTTGAATTAGTACTGTATTGATATAATATTTTGAATGTAAAAATAATTTTAATTTAATAAAAAAATAAAAATTAAATAATTGATTTGATATTTTCTAAAAGAAAAAATTTAATTATTGTAAAAAATGATACAACATAAATTATTGATTTTTTTTATACTATTGACAAATTTTCTTATATATAATATAAAAACAAATCAAATTAAAAATACTACTACATATTTTAATTCTTCGAAAAAGTACACTATATATATATACTTTTAAAAAACAGGTATATTTGATTGTATTTTGAAGTTAATTTAAAATAAAATCTTAATTTTAGTTTTTATTTAAATAATATTTTGTAAAAAAATATATTTTATCTTATTAAAAACTGTCTAATAATATAAATTTATATTTGAAATTATAAAAAACTATTATTATTCAAATTTATTTTTTCTTTAAAGAAAAAAAAATGAGAAAAATGTTACCTTCGAAACATGATCAAATAAATAAACAATGAAATCTAAAATAAATATTCGAATTTGATTTTTTTGAACCTATCGTTAAATAAAATCAATGATCAATCCGATCTTATGTTAAATATTTTTCATAGATTCCTCAGATTCAAAGTCGAATGTTATTTAATTGAAGTTCGTTTTCAACCGTTAAAAGATCCAAATTTTTTATCTCGAAACGATAATTTCTTAAATGCGACCGTTGAAAAAAAAAAATCCACCTCGGAAAGTGAATTCCATCTTAATTACCGATCTTGCCAAACAATCTACGATAGTTGTCCGTTCCATTATTCACTTATAAACTAAATTACCCGTTCCCATGCAATCGATAACTAAACTACTCGTTTCCATGCAATCGAAATTTTGTGTATAACAAAAAAAATAATAATAATAATAAAATAAATAAATAAGGTGCAAAAAAATTAAATAAAAATACTTCCATTAGAAAATAGTACTACTAGCAATATGATAAATTGATAATCCAGATTAAGGAACAATTAATTATTTATTTAATCCATAAATTAATCCTAATTAAGCACTGCCCCTCCTTCTCGAAAATTCGACTTCAACGTCTTCCTTCTGGATGCAATGGAAACAGCTCCAATGTCGGATCCTCATCCTCTCTGCAAATCTTCTTGCACCGCCTCTGGTACGCACTCTCCTCCCCATCCTCCACTTCGTTATCAATCTGCAATTCAACCAAACAATTCTCCAATTACCAATTACCAATTTCGATTTCGAATTTTCAATTTCGATTTTCGATCAGATTACCTCAGCGTTGGTCGAGAGAGACAGGCTGCAAGTAGGAGTTACAGAATCGGTAACCGTCGCCGGAGAAGCGACCGCCGCGGCGGCGGCGACGGCGGAGTAGGAAGTGCGGAGGTAGGGGTTAATATTAATATTATTATTATTATTATTATTATTATTATTAATAAGAGAGTAGCGCTTTTGCTTTTGGCGCTCACGCGCTTTATGATTTTGGAACCAGTAAAACACGTTTTTGCCTTCGATCCGTCCGTACAAGGCGAGATTAGCGGTTATGTCTTCGATCTGTTGAGCGTTGGGAGTGCGCATGCCGTTACGGTAGAGCATTTCCAGGATTCCGATCTGCTCCGGCGTCGGATTCCACCGCGTAGTCGGCGCCGGCGCCGGCGCCGGCGACGGAGGTCGGGCTTCAACCTGTCGTTGGGCAGCGGAAGTCAGCTTGAATGACGCGAACATGTTTTTTTTAGGTATTATTTTTTAATATTATTATTTTTTGGAATTGGAATAGTTTGTGAATGAAAAATATACGTATATTTAAACGAGTGAGTGTATAGTTGGAATGGTTGGAGGGTACGAAGCATTGAATGTACGATGTTTGTACATTGCAATTTATTATGGCGGTTGAATTAATTGTGAGTTTCGATGAGAAATATGACACGGAGAAGAGTTCGATTTCAAGGATTCAAAAAAATTATATAAAATAATAATAAATAAATCAAAATTCATTCTTGGTCCATATATTTCAATTTTTATTAATTTGGTCTTTAAGTAAAATATATATATACATAATTTTATATCTAATTTGCAATCGTTGAAAATATTCTATGACTTCGGAATTTGATATGTATGCTGACATAATACTTCTGAAGCTGATATGAATTACTCGCAAAGTATCACCAATGTGATGTATTTTTATTTTTTTTTACAAATGATACTCCCTCAATCCTAGATAAGATGAACGTATGACTGTAGATATGAAAATTTAGGTAAAGTATAATTATTAAGTAGTTAAAAAACGTATTAGTAGAAATAATTATTATTTAGTAAAATTAATTATAGATTAAGATTGGACGAAAATAGAAAAAATGAACAAATTATGTGGGACGAATGAAGTTATATTAATCTACGTTAATATTTTATGCTAAAAATTGATATCTAACTATTCCATGTGGCCCCTAAAATGCTATGTCGTACTTAAAAGTAGTGACTGCGGGTTCCTATATTATTAAAAAAAAAAATACGTGTTTTATCAGCATATATGTCGATTGTTATTATTTTGGTCATTTAAATAAAAATTTTAATGTATTTATTTTGCATTTTTGGATGAATATATTTTTTAGGTTAAATATGAGAATTCATATGATTAATCTAAAAGATACTAATATTCTATTGAATTATTTGATTTTGTGATTGAATGAAGTATATATACTCCCTCCGTTTCCGTTCAATTGACATTTTTTATTAGTAACATAATATTTAAGATAATAATAATTAATTAATTAATAATAATAAATTTGTATTATTTTATTATTTTTTATATAATCGATAAAATTGGTAGTTTAAAAATAAATTTAATATATATAAATAAAATAAAAATTAGAAAAATATATATTTAAATATTTTAAAAATTATATCATAATAAAAAATATATGCAATTTGAATAGCATTTGTAGATAATAAAAATTCTTATCATACAAATAAATAAAAAAAATGTTTATTTATGTATAATTAACATAAACTAATTTTTATAAAATATATGAAGTTTTAAATATAGATAAAACTATTTATTTTTTAGAAGAAATATAAAAATAAAAGGGTTTTGAGTTGGATGTATGTATTATGTTATATGTTATATAGTTAATTAAGTTGATTTATAGTAATTATTAAATATATTTTAATTTACTAAATTTTACTCAAAATAGAATATGTCAATAGATATAAACAAACAAAAATAAAAAAAAATGTCAAGTTATGAAGTACATTATATATATATATATATATATTAGTTTAATACTTGTATATATTATTTTTTCCAATTTAAAGATATATATTTATTGGAATTTAAAAAATAATAAAATTTTAATTGTAGTGGATAATTAAAAATTAATGTAAAAATAATTTTGCACTTATTTTTTTGTGATATAATAGTAAAGTAGATGTATTCGGAAAAAAAAAATAAAAATTCATATTTATTTTGTAATTGAACAATTCAAAATAAAAATATGTACAAAATACAAAACGGAGGAAGTTGATATGAACTACTCACATAGTAAGTTTAATCACCAATTTAATTTGGATTTTTTTTTAATATATATATATATATATGCAGATATATAAAATTAAATTTGTGTTAATATTTAATGTTAAAAATTGGTACATGATTATTCCATGTCATACCGAAGATGCTATGTCAGCACATATAAGAATTTTCCTATATGAGAGGATTTTAAATGTATAATTATTTCTATACAAGTTCTATTAACAACCAAAAATACATTTATTCAAATTAAAAAATATATATATATATATAATAAAAAGCGTGTTTTTAAAAGTGCGATTTTAAGGGTTTCATTGCTTGCCTGAGGCGTCGCCGGCGGTTGCGAATCGGAGGGTTTGATGTTGAAGCTTTTTAGGTCGAAAGAGTCCCCGCCGCTGCCGCAGGCGGCGGCAGAGAGCTTAGGGGCGAGGGGACGGAGGCGCTTGCAGCCGAGAGTGAGGGAAGTCGGCGGCGCGTCGCGCTCCCAAAATCCACGCGCTAAGTGGTGGTGGTGGTGCACGTTCATTCCTCCTTGAATTCCCATGGCGAAATTGACGATTGTATTTTTTCACGATAACTGCAATTGTTCATTTATATATATATATATGTAATATGTGTATATATATATAGAGAGAGAGAGAGAGAGAGGGAGGGAAGGGGGCGGGGGGGAGGGTGGGGGTTGGGTGGTGGAATAACCCAAGACCAAATGATGAGGTGAGGTTGACTTGAGATTCTTTATAACAGAAGCAGCTATGCCAAAAAAAAAAAAGAAAGAAAAAAAGAATTTTTACAGGGACGAAGACGATACATTATGCAAGTCTGAGTGTAATAAAGAAGATGACGATTCTTGACGAAAACAGGACCAGAGGTCCCGTCCAATGCACGCCGCAGATTGGAGTGGGGTCTATGTTCCGTGCACGGTGTAGATTGATCTGGAGCTTCGCTCCTGGGACTTATCTTGAGATTTCTGGATCCGCTTCGTTATATAATACTACGTGTGTAGAAAAAGGATGGGAATTAGGAGTAATTATGAAAAAGGATAGGAAGTGATAGGCTTAATGATCATGAAATTACCCAAAAATAAAAACAGCATTAAACCTAAAAGGAATCTAGTTATTAATTAATTAATTAATTAGTGTGAAATTAAATTAAAATTTATTTAAATCCCCTTTGAAATTAATTAATTCTCCATTGCCGACTACCACCATTCACGCTTCTTCTGTACATATATATGCTTTGCTTATAGAAATTAAAACTTCAAACTATAAGGTGTGTCAATTCGGGCCGGCCCGACTCGATTATAAACTATGCTAGGCCAGCACAGCCCGTTTGCAAAAGAGCCTGGAAAGATCGGCCCGAGTACGACCCAATTTCAAACCGGGCCGTGCCGTGCTGGAAGCAGGGAATTTAACTCATAATTAAAGATATGTAAGTCAAGAACTTTACCGTCAAATTATATTTTAATTTTTGTCATTATTTCAAAAATTAATTTATATATATGAATTTATTAAAATTTAAATATTAATTTAAAAACCGAGACAACAGCTTAACACGACCCGAATTTTATGAGCCCGACCAAGGCCCGGTTTATTAGAAAGTCGGGCCAGGCACAACCCAAAAATTTTCAAGTTCATTTTGAAGGTTTAAACACGATCTTTTTTTTTTGTGCCGTCCTCGGCCAAACTTTTGGGTCACGTTTATGTTTGCCACCACTATCAAGACAGAGAGACGTTGAAACTTATTAGGAATTTAACCTTAAATCCATGATCTATTGTGTTAAAATAATTGAGGTAAAATAAAGCAAAATAAATCTTACTTTATTCCATTAATGTTGTTGGAATCGGATTTGCAAATTAATTGAGGGTTTTGTGTTCTTAAAGCCTATGACGGAACCCCTTTCTGAAAAAATTGCTAGGGTTTTTGGTGTTACTATCATTATGAGATATGAAAAACAATAGATGTTGTGTCTAGTCCTGAGATCACAATCCTAATTTATATCTCTCGTTATTAATTGGCTTCATCACTCAATTAATAAATTATCGAGTTTCTACCCAATAATTTTAAAGATCATTTAATTCAGGCTTAATATGACTAATAACTCAAATAGTTGCATTTATAATCCAAGAAAAAGAAAGAATCTTTTTGTGATCATGTATTGAGAAATGAGTCGTGACTAATGTGTGTTGGCAAATTGAAACAGTAAATAATCAATTATACCAAAATTAAAATAATTTAAATAATAAATAAATAAATGATTATAATCACAACTCATGAGTTTCTCTCTCTTGTGTTTTTACTTGACAAATTAAAGTGGAGAAAGCACTTGGAAAAGCCTTATAGATATATATATATATATATATGTGTGTGTGTGAGTGTGTGCATGGATGTATGTGTGTGTGTGTGTTGGGGCAAAGGCAAAGGCAAAGGCAAAGGCAAAGGAAATTGAAAGGTGGTTAAATTTTTTTCTTACTTTAATGATTATAAGTTGTCGTGAAGGTGCTTTTCGGTGCCCCCTCGCCTCTCTTCCATTTTAAATTCCACTTTATCAAAACTCGCCACCTTTTTAATTTAATTAATTTAATTATTATTATTATTATTATTATTATTATTATTATTATTATTACTCCAATCCCAATACTACATGAAAATGCACACTATAAATTCTTGATGTTGTGCCCTTTCCAAGATGATGGATAAATGTGTTGTATAGTATTGTCAAGTGTGTTTGTGCTGTATTTTTGTCACCACTTATCGATTCAAAAAATATAAAAATAATAAATTACTCTAGTTTATTAAACTATTGCGAAAAAATAGTCTTGACAATTTCTGTTTGCGGATAGATAATTAATGATTTCGTTTTTTTAACTATTCGAATTTTTAGATGAAATGGTTATTTGCAGTTGCATATATGTTTGATTATATTAAATAATTGTTGCACAAACCGAAACCAAATAAATCCATAATACGAAGCCAAATAAAAAATTACATACAAACATGTTTATAATAATAATAATAATAATAATAATAATAGGGCCCTCACAATGGTGGAAACGGGCATAATTACACCCACACATTCTCATCATTTGCACGTGCCCTTATACCCCCCCCCCCTCCCTCCTTTTTTTCATTTCCATTTTATTTTCTTCTTCAATTTAAAGGATACTGAATGTTATTATTATTATTTTTTATAAAATAAAAATAAATAAGTAAAAATGACATATTTGAACCACCATTCTTATTTTTTTGTGTACACTCACTTCTATAATCTCGAAAATTTACACTTGAAAATATATTCTCTGTACTATTTTTATCTAGGGCTGTTTTTTTTTTTCTTTCTTTCTTTCTTCTTCTTTTTTTTTTTTTTTTTTTTTTTTTTTTTTTTTTAAGGATTCGTTTGTGTTTTAATTTTAGTTTTTAGTTTAAATATTAGGTGAATATAATATATATTCTTAAAAAAATATTTTTACAAAGAATCATACTTTGCATAAAAAATCATATTATAAATAACGTTGAGATTTTACAAATCTATCAAAATAGATCAGCCCATTAAAAACCGTGGCGGATGCATTTGGAAGCTGAAAATTATATAGGTTTCGGTGAGATTTTACCTGATTTTACTATTTTAATTTTTTTAAAAAAAAATTATCAAATCAAATACTTAATTTTTATTTATTTTATTACACTAAAATCTAATTTTACATTCAAAACATTACATCAATACATATTTATATCAAATTAAATAATTATTTCAATTCAAAATTTTATTACTCCCTCCGTCCCATAACAAACTATCTATTTTTTCATTTTAGTCTGTCCCATAATAAAGTATCAATTTCTTTTTTTTTAGTAATTGTATCATCTACCTAACATTACAAATACCCTTACAACTTATAATATATTCACAAATGTCATTACATTTACATCACACAATACTAATAAAGTTATTTTAGTTATTTCTACTTTATTCTTACTACATCCCAATATAATACTAATATTTTTAAACCTCCGTGTAAAAAGCAAATAGATACATAATTATGGAACGGAGAGAGTATTCAAAATCAAAACCCAAAACTAAAACTTCACATGTTATATATTAATTTGATCCAGTTCCAATTAAATTCATTTAAATAGGATACAATTCAAAACAAAGAACCACTATTGTATACTTACTAGTTACAATGTCCACTTATTATTATCCATCCGTCTAGTTAGAAAGTATATATATTTCTATTTTGGGACATCCAATTACAAAGTAAATATTTAATTAAATATATCATTGTTTTCCACAAATACCATTACTTTACATCACATCGTTACTTTTACACAAAAAAAAAAAACAAGGACAAAAATGTCATTACACTACTTTTAATCATCTACTATTTCTTAAATATCGCGTCAAAAGTAAATGTATACGGACGGAGAGAGTATAATATATTTTGTTATTTTCACTTGTTCAAACAAAATATATACTATATTTTATTTTTTGAAATAAATATAATTCAATCACAAGTTATAAATTCCTTTAAACTGGCACTTATCTAAATCAATAAAATTACAACGAATTAAAATATAAGTAAAATAATCTTTTTACAAAAAAATATCCATTAAAAATGAATAAAAATATAAATATTTATGAAATTTCACATAAGAAAATAAATACACATTTCATTGGATCAACGACCCGACCCGACCCGACCCGACCCAATATTACCATCCTTCCCGCCAAAATATAACCCGAAGAGAGTAGGCAAGTAGTGACTGCAGATTCAAAAGCCAGCATAAGTGGACGCATGCATGCATGCATTGTCACCCGCGCGCTTTCCACTTTCAAATTAATAATCATAATAATAATAATAATAATATTTCTTGCGTATATATAAATTATTATTGGCAAATACACATACACCCTCGTGTACAATATAATAATTGTGCTTGTCCTTTTTGTTTCACTTATTATTATTATTATTATTATTATTATTATTATTATCATCTCTATCACACATAGAATTTTTATTTTTTTTATTTTTTATTCGTACCACATAATGTTATTTTTCTAAAAAAAAATAAAATTATATTTTAAATTTTATAGTTATAATTTTCTTTATCTTATTTCAATAATTTAATTATCTTAATTTAATATAATATAAAGTATTTGTATTATATTAAAATAATTATTTTTACTAATCCACTTCTTAAATATTATTATTATTATTATTATTATTTTTAGAAGAATTTCGGAATTATAAGGAATAATTTCTGGAATTCTATTATTAATAATGAAATTCTGGACCTGTCTATAATTATCTTACATATTTCTATTAACCAATACAATTATTACTTCTTTCGTCCACAAACTAATGTCCTATTTTTTTTATTTGGGACGTTCAATAGCTATTTTTTTATTTCTCTTTTTAAACACAAATTTTACCTTTTTACCATTAATTCATTTACTACTTTTAATCTTTACCATATCATTAAGGACAACTTTGCCAATTCATAACAAAAAGACGATCATCTAAAAAAGTCGTGCAAATATGTTCTACAACAATAGAAATTGGACAAAGGTAATATTATTTTTAAATTTATTGCAAAAATTGAAAGGGGTATTTTGGACTGAAGCAGATGGAGTATAATACTCTCTTCATCCGCAGTT